TATCTATCTATCTATCTATCTATCTATCTATCTATCTATCTATCTACCTACCTACCCCTGTCTTTATCTACCTTTCTTTTTTGTACTCCTTTACTTCTCTACCTCTGTCTCTTTCTCTACCCCTATATTTCTCTACCTCTGTCTCTTTCTCTACCCCTATATTTCTTTACCTCTGTGTCTACATCTCTACCTCTCTTTACCTCTCTAAGTAAACTTGTAGTTTTCTACAATTTTTTGGATCTTGTTTTGCATTTCAGCTTATTAAATGCATTTGAATTAAGCTTTTTTTTCCTTTTTTGCTCTGTTTTGCTGTTGTTTGAACTGCAATATTTTTTTTAAGCATTTAAGTTAAGCTTTTGAAGCATTCACACGCATATTCCGCAGGAAATGCAATTTTTCTAGTTATTCTCTTCTTCTTATTTTTCTTACCCAAAATTTTCTGACTGCTACTCCTCCTAGAGCTTTAACTCTACAAACTCCAAACTCGGGTCAGACCTTCAGACTGTTCTGACTCGAGTTGCTATATCTTTTTAGACTGATTCGACTTTCAGATTTCTTAAAAATTAATATTAAAAATCATAAAAATCCCATTGACTTTCATTGCAGCATGGTCAAATTGAGCCAAGACTACGGTGGCCCAATAGCGTACAGCAAAAACTCAAATCTAAATTCCCTGAAGCCCTAGACTCAATTAAACTACCATTCTATATGAACTAATGAACTATCTATCTATCTATCTATCTATCTATCTATCTATCTATCTATCTATCTATCTATCTATCTATCTATCTATCTATCTTTCTTTCTTTCTTTCTTTCTAACTAATCTATCCATCTTCTTTCTACTTAACTAATCTATCCATCTTTCTTTCTAACAAATCTATCCATCTTTCTTTCTAACTAATCTATCCATCTTTCTTTCTAACTAATCTATCCATCTTTCTTTCTAACAAATCTATCCATCTTTCTTTCTAAAAAATCTATCCATCTTTCTTTCTAACTAATCTATCCATCTTTCTTTCTAACTAATCTATCCATCTTTCTTTCTAACAAATCTATCCATCTTTCTTTCTAACAAATCTATCCATCTTTCTTTCTACCTAATCTATCCATCTTTCTTTCTAACAAATCTATCCATCTTTCTTTCTACCTAATCTATCCATCTTTCTTTCTACCTAACTAATCTATCCATCTTTCTTTCTAACAAATCTATCCATCTTTCTTTCTAACTAATCTATCCATCTTTCTTTCTAACAAATCTATCCATCTTTCTTTTACCTAATCTATCCATCTTTCTTTCTACTAACTAATCTACCCATCTTTCTTTCTAACAAATCTATCCATCTTTCTTTCTACCTAATCTATCCATCTTTCTTTCTACCTACCTAATCTATCCATTTTTCTTTCTAACTAATCTATCCATCTTTCTTTCTACCTAATCTATCCATCTTTCTTTCTACCTACCTAATCTATCCATTTTTCTTTCTACCTAATCTATCCATTTTCTTTCTAACTAATCTATCCATCTTTCTTTCTACTTAACTAATCTATCCATCTTTCTTTCTAACAAATCTATCCATCTTTCTTTCTAACTAATCTATCCATCTTTCTTTCTAACTAATCTATCCATCTTTCTTTCTAAAAAATCTATCCATCTTTCTTTCTAACTAATCTATCCATCTTTCTTTCTAACTAATCTATCCATCTTTCTTTCTAACAATCTATCCATCTTTCTTTCTAACAAATCTATCCATCTTTCTTTCTACCTAATCTATCCATCTTTCTTTCTAACAAATCTATCCATCTTTCTTTCTACCTAATCTATCCATCTTTCTTTCTACCTAACTAATCTATCCATCTTTCTTTCTAACAAATCTATCCATCTTTCTTTCTAACTAATCTATCCATCTTTCTTTCTAACAAATCTATCCATCTTTCTTTTTACCTAATCTATCCATCTTTCTTTCTACCTAACTAATCTACCCATCTTTCTTTCTAACAAATCTATCCATCTTTCTTTCTACCTAATCTATCCATCTTTCTTTCTACCTACCTAATCTATCCATTTTTCTTTCTAACTAATCTATCCATCTTTCTTTCTACTTAACTAATCTATCCATCTTTCTTTCTAACAAATCTATCCATCTTTCTTTCTAACTAATCTATCCATCTTTCTTTCTAACTAATCTATCCATCTTTCTTTCTAAAAAATCTATCCATCTTTCTTTCTAACTAATCTATCCATCTTTCTTTCTAACTAATCTATCCATCTTTCTTTCTAACAAATCTATCCATCTTTCTTTCTAACAAATCTATCCATCTTTCTTTCTACCTAATCTATCCATCTTTCTTTCTAACAAATCTATCCATCTTTCTTTCTACCTAATCTATCCATCTTTCTTTCTACCTAACTAATCTATCCATCTTTCTTTCTAACAAATCTATCCATCTTTCTTTCTAACTAATCTATCCATCTTTCTTTCTAACAAATCTATCCATCTTTCTTTTTACCTAATCTATCCATCTTTCTTTCTACCTAACTAATCTACCATCTTTCTTTCTAACAAATCTATCCATCTTTCTTTCTACCTAATCTATCCATCTTTCTTTCTACCTACCTAATCTATCCATTTTTCTTTCTAACTAATCTATCCATCTTTCTTTCTACCTAATCTATCCATCTTTCTTTCTACCTACCTAATCTATCCATTTTTCTTTCTACCTAATCTATCCATTTTTCTTTCTAACTAATCTATCCATCTTTCTTTCTAACAAATCTATCCATCTTTCTTTCTACCTAATCTATCCATCTTTCTTTCAACCTAATCTATCCATCTTTCTTTCTACCTAACTAATCTATCCATCTTTCTTTCTAACTTATCTATCCATCTTTCTTTCTAACAATCTATCCATCTTTCTTTCTAACAAATCTATCTATCTTTCTTTCTACCTAATCTATCCATCTTTCTTTCTAACAAATCTATCCATCTTTCTTTCTACCTAATCTATCCATCTTTCTTTCTACCTAATCTATCCATCTTTCTTTCTAACTAATCTATCCATCTTTCTTTCTAACAAATCTATCGTTCTTTCTTTCTACCCAAGTAATCTATCCATCTTTCTTTCTAACAATACTTTCTTTCTCTTTCTTTCTTCTTCTTTCTTTCTTTCTTTCTTTCTTTCTTTCTTTCTAACAAATCTATCCATCTTTCTTTCTAACTAATCTATCCAGCTTTCTTTCTAACAAATCTATCCATCTTTCTTTCTAACTAATCTATGCATCTTTCTTTCTAAAAATTCTTTCTTTCTCTTTCGTTCTTTCTTGATGCTAATAACATGCTAATCATGCTAGCTTTCTGCTAATCATGTTAGCTTCTTGTTAAAAACATGCTAGCATGATGCTAGCTACATGCTAATCATGTTAGCATGGTGCTAGCTACATGCTAATCATGCTAGCTTCTTGCTAAAAACATGCTAGCATGATGCTAGCTACATGCTAATCATGCTAACATGATGCTAGCTACATGCTAGTCATGCTAGCTTCTTGTTAAAAACATGCTAGCATGATACTAGCAACATGCTAATCATGCTATTATGATGCTAGCTACATGCTAATCCTGCTAGCTTCTTGCTAAAAACATGCTAGCATGATGCTAGCAACATGCTAATCATGTTATTATGATGCTATCTACATGCTAATCATGCTAGCATGATGCTAGCTACATGCTAATCATGCTAGCTTCTTGCTAGCAACATGCTAATCATGCTAGCATGATGCTAGCTACATGCTAATCATGCTAGCTTCTTCTAAAAACATGTTAGCATGATGCTAGCAACATGCTAATCATGCTATTATGATGTTAGCTACATGCTAGTCATGCTAGCTTCTTGCTAAAAACATGCTAATCATGCTAGCTTGATGCTAGCTACAAGCTAATCATGTTAGCTTCTTGCTAAAAACATGCTAGCATAATGCTAGCAACATGCTAATCATGCTATTATGATGTTAGCTACATGCTAATCATGCTAGCTTCTTGCTAAAACATGCTAGCATGATGCTAGCAACATGCTAATCATGCTATTATGATGTTAGCTACATGCTAGTCATGCTAGCTTCTTGCTAAAAACATGCTAATCATGTTAGCTTGATGCTAGCTACATGCTAATGATGTTAGCTTCTTGCTAAAAACATGTTAGCATGATGCTAACAACATGCTAATAATGTTATTATGATGCTAGCTACATGCTAATCATGGTAGAATGATGCTAGCTACATGCTAATCATGCTAGCTTCTTGCTAAAAACATGCTAACATGATGCTAGCAACATGCTAATAATGCTAGCATGATGCTAGCTACATGCTAATCATTCTAGCTTCTTGTTAAAACATGCTAGCATGATGCTAGCAACATGCTAATCATGTTAGCATGATGCTAGCTACATGCTAGTCATGCTAGCTTCTTGATAAAAACACGTTAGCTTGATGCTAGCAACATGCTAATCATGCTATTATGATGCTAGCTACATGCTAACAACATGCTAATCATCTTAACTACATGCTAATCAAATTAGCATCAAGCTAGCTACATGCTAATCATGTTAGCTTCTTGCCAAAAACATCTATCTATCTATCTATCTATCTATCTATCTATCTATCTATCTATCTATCTATCTATCTATCTATCTATCTATCTATCTATCTATATTTCTTTCTAACTAATCTATCTTTCTAACTAATCTATAAACCTAATCTAAAACTTCATTCAAACTTCAAAACTTCAAACGCTCTGGTCCGGCTTTCTCAAGCCAACTTAAAGTTTGTCATCAAACTTTTTTTTCTAGTTTAACTTGTCACTCTTTTCACTTCTCAAAAAAAAAAAAAAAAAATTCAATCATTGACATTTGACCAAAAATAGTGGTGGTGAAAGTGGTTTTGCGTAGTGCTGACGAGGTGCTCTATCTTATTTAAAGGCTCTGTTCAAGTTCCTCGTTTAGGATGTGCGCTGACTTCTAGTGAAGCCACAACATGTTTGCATCAGTTCCACCACAGCTGCAGACTGTTTCACACACTTTTTTACCAAAGGCACAGGTGAGTGAAACCAATATTTGAAGAGTTCAGATGCAAAAGCCTCTAAATGCCATTTGAAATTTTCTTCTAAAATGACCATTTTTATCAAGCTTGTATATTTAAGTTCAGTAATTTCACTTAAATGACAATTAATAGGTAATCTTCATTGCCATTTAAGTGAAATCACTGAACTTAAATATAGGCTACAAGCTTGATAAAAACGATCATTTTAGAAGAAAATTTCAAATGGCACTTAGAGGCTTTTGCATCTGAACTCTTCATTTGATGCTCAGAATGAACCTCACCTCAACAGAATTTCTTTATTAACTCAGTACTGATTTTAATCCAACAGAATCTGACCTTAGGCACCAGACACACAACAATGGCTGAGTATGCTGAAGATTACATTTACGATTTTTTCAATGACAACAGTACCCTATCGCCAGGGTACGGAGTAATCGGAGAGGTTCCTTTATGCAATAAAGGCAATGTCATCCAGTTTGGCGCAGCATTTCTCCCAGTCTTCTACTACACCAACTTCTTGCTGAGCTTGGTGGGGAACGGACTGGTGCTGTACATCATCTTCAAATACGAGAAGCTCAGCACGGTCACCAACATATTCTTGCTCAACCTAGTCATCTCGGACCTGGTCTTCGCCTCCAGCCTTCCCTTTTGGGCGGTCTACCACAAGTCAGAATGGATCTTTGGCAAAGGCCTTTGCAAGTTGGTTGGAAGTTGTTACAGCATCGGCTTCAACAGCTCCATCCTCTTCCTCACTCTCATGACTTTCGACCGCTACCTTGCGGTGGTCCACGCCATCTCTGCAGCCCATAGGAGGAGAAAAAAGTACGCGTTCGGATCGGCCGCCGCTGTCTGGGCGCTCAGTGTATTTGCTAGTATAAAGGATATAGTTCTATATGATGTGATGGATGGTTCAAATGGTTTGCTGTGCGAAGTGACTGGTTACCACCAGAATATCCTCACAAAGTGGGAGCTGTTTGGCTATTATCAGCAGGTTCTTCTTTTCTTCCTAGTGCCTCTGGCCATCGTCCTGTACTGCTACATCCGCATCTCCATCAGGATCATGTCCACACGCATGGTGGAGAAGTGCAGGGCAGTCAAACTCATCTTTGTCATCGTCTTCACCTTCTTCATCTGCTGGACGCCTTACAATGTGGTCATTCTGTTAAAAGCCATCAAGACGTCATCTGTAGACCCGGACAATTGCTCGGAAGCCCTCGACTATGCTCTGTACATAACACGTAACTTTGCCTACCTGTACTGCTGCATCAGCCCTGTTTTTTATACCTTTTTGGGGAAGAAGTTTCAAAGCCATTTTCTGAAGATTCTGTCCAAGCGCATGCCTTGTTTGAAGAACAATGCCTTGATGTCAATGCCAAGTAGTAAAACCACTTCAATCAGGAGCCCAACCACTAGTTACTGATCGTTCATTGCGTTTTGTTGGTGAATTTGTTGTTAAGAGGACACAAATTAGAGCGCCAAGAGAAAGAAAAAACATAGAATCCAAGATGCAATGTTTGACTGTAAGAAAATATATGATCAATAATTTCTAATTTAACGGATATTAATTAATAGTGCATGTCTAATGAGCTCCATCAATTTTACCAGATGAAGCAAAAGTATTGATGAAAATTTAAAAACAAGTGAAATGTTGTCATATTTTACGGTTTGTTTGATGTACATATGTAAATATTCCTTCATAAATATCTATTTGGTGACATAAAAAAGTAAAAAAAAAAAAATGTTTCAATAATTTCTCATTTAATGCATGATGAAGAGTGTATTTTTAATGAGCTCCATCAGAGCAAAAGTATTGATAAACATGTAAAAAACAATTGAAATATTGTCAGATTTTACAGTTCATTTAATGTACATATGTAAATATTCCTTCATATCTCTTTGATGACATACATGTTTCCAATAATTTCTCATTTAATGACGAATAGGCATTTAATACTATACTTATTATTAATAATAACTTACATTTTTTACTGTCTATACAGATAAATATTAATTCACAAGTATTGCTTAATTAAACAAAACGCACACAAAAAAACCTTATCAATGGCTTCTGTGATGAAAGAGCATCATTGCAACATAGGCTATTGTTCGTTAGACCTAATCTATGTGTTTTTTTGCTAGATATATCTCTTTACTACATTCTATTCTTTAAGGAGTTATATTGTTTTGTGTGGAATATATTGTTGTAAATAGTTATACTGTTAGTAGTAAATAGTTAGATATTGCTGCTGGTGTAACCTGAGCAAAGATATAAAATATTAGTGACAGGAATTTGTCGATCTATTTGGTGACCTGATATGAAACTCACAACCCTTTAAAGTTCTCAGAAATGAGCAAACTTCCTGTCCTGTCAACATCTAAATATATCCTGTTCTGATCTGCATTTTGAGCATGAACTCAGTCTCTGCAATGTGTTCTTTTGGTTCTGTAATATACATCTCATTTTAATGTATGATAATAAATATTCTTAATAATCTTTTTGATTGTGGTTGTCTTTTATGAAATAATGTGTGTTATATGCATTGTTTTTTAGTCAGTGTGAATCGTTCAGTTGCTTTAAAGGTAAAATAAATCCACCAGACCTTACCAAACAAGTATTTTGTACAGCTTTTCACTTCATTAAAAGCACCACAGTTTTAAATTGTGTCTTCCATTACATAGGGACTTCTGAACAGACATTTAGAAATTTATTGTAAAATGCAAAGCATTTAAAATCAAAATAAAGCTAAACACTTGCATTTATGCAACACTATAAGTGTTTTTATTTTTTATTTTTTTTAACAATATTAATTTACAAAAACATATAGGGAACAATCAAATGCCAATTACAAATATACACTTTTCCAAAAATATCTCCATCCTAAATGTCCATGTGTGTATATATTACATACAATAACAACAACAAAACAACATTTGTTAACTTTTATAGAGGGGTGCAAGGAAAAATAAATAAATAAAATAAATGAATACAGGTTTAAATCCCAATTTAAAAGGAAAGAGACTCATACATGGATTTATAGAATTCTTCAAGGGTTTGATTATCATTTTGTCTCCAATATTTACTTGATTCGGGCAGTTTAACTTGAATATGTAAGAGTTCTTCTCTAAAGGAACATTTTACCTCAAATTTCACCATGAATGCATTATGTTGAATAATTAGACCTGTGTCATCTAAAAGATCAACAGCATGTAGATAATTTTTCCCATACCACTTTTTTTTGAATACTGTCTTTCTATTTATTGTAGCCTAATGGTTGTTTTATTCCACAATGTGGAACAATGTGGTGAAACATTTTGGGTGAATATCAATTTCCAATAGTAGCCTACAGAGTCTGTTTGTGGAATTGTGAAAGCTTAATTGGCAATTTGGAAACCTCAAAATCACATTTCAGCAAAAAAAATCTAGTCCTCCAACACTATAAGTGCCATCTGATAATCAAAATTTGTACACACACTTGCAGTCTTCACACCCACTTGAACACTTCGGCCATAATAAGTGAGCAAAGACCGGCCTATGAGAGCAATTACATCCAATCACACCCGAGCACAACCATACATTCATCCAATCACATTCGTCACAATAGGGACGACCAATCAGCAGCCAGTCACTATCCAGACATCCAGTCAGCGTCCAGTCTCAGTGCGGGAAGCGCGTGCGTACGTGCGCGGGTGGGGTGGATGACGTAACCACGGTCATAACTGGAGGAACAAAAAACAGAAATCAATCTGACGGAGCGTTTCCATTGGTTACAGGCTCCTGGTACCCAGGAAAGAGGATGTAGCATCTCCTGAGGTAACGTTAGCTTAGCAAACAGGGCAAATGTAAGGAAAGGACGGCTGTTGTGCGGGTAAACATGGGACGGATAATGGCCGTATGAACGAAAAGGTGATGATTCACCGGCAGGTGATACTGACCCAGGTGAGTGTTAGTGTATTACACACTAATGTTCCCGATAGTCAGGCGTGTTTTGAGATGTCTGTGGCGAGAGGCAGTGGGTGACAGCACGATAACAGTCACTGGGCTTCAGTATTGTAGTGCTCTGCGATATGATGCTGTTTTAAAAGCTGTTTGGTTTTATTTAGCGTGGCCTTTTATCAGTTTATGTTCAACATCAGTCGCGGCCTCGCGCGTCTTTGTGTGGTGCGCGCGTCCTTTTGCGTGCACGTGCGTGTGTATTTGGCCCAGATGAGATGAGCATCATCTTTCCTGAACCCTGCACTCGACACTTGACCTTAAACCCACCCTTTATTCAGTTATTGTTGTAAATAGTGTTAAAGATTTTGTAAGCATGTATTGTATGGTTGTGCTTGGACTGGAGGCAATTGTTCAATTTGTGATAACGAAATGAAGCTTTCCAAATTTTGTGAATATAGGGATTTGTTATATTTATATATTTGATATATATAATTTTGATGGTTTAATTGAACTCATTAAAAAAGTGTCATTAAAATATCCCCTAAACTAAATTTAAAAAAATATATATTTTAGGTCAAATTTTACAAAAATAAAAATTAAAATATCCCCATTTGTCACTGAATAATTCACATCTTAATACAATCTAATCTAAACTACACCTGATACTAAAATGTTTCTTGCACATAAACCCCAATGTAATGGATGTAAATAAGGTTAAGATGAAATCAGACAGTCATAGATCGATAATCATTTAAAATTATATAATATATTTCATGGCTGTATTGTATAGCACTTAAATATCCACATAAAAAGTAATTTTCTTACTTCAAATAACATTCAAGTGAAACTCATCAAAATAATAATGATGCCTTATATGAGTAATAAATAAACAAATAACACAATAATGGAGTTAAAAGCTGATATCTGTGGTGGTTGATGATAAGCATGGTTGTCCATGTTTAGTTGGGGACGTGTGTTCATTACTCAGGGGTTGTTACGAGCTTAGGCAAGGAGCAGAGATGGGGTAGATTAGTCCTGATTCACCTGAGACCAGCAGTCTATTGATCTGCTGTCAAATCAGCATCAAGGAACGGAAAAAAGGCCTTGTTCCTTTGCAAGCAGGAAGTGCTTCCTGTTAAACGACCTTCACATGATGACGTGGATGTTATTGAGTGAACTGACTTCATAAGTTTTTTATTTATACATGATGTTTACCGTAGATGAGTTCCCAGAGGGTATCCCAGAGCAGAGCGATTATGTAATTTCACCATGTATTATTTCCATTAGTATGTCTGATAGATTGCAATGAAAATATTTTAATTTATGTAACAATGTAGAGCTTTTCTAAGAAGAATTTTTTGCTTTTGCTTTTTTTTACCCATAAAACATTTTTATTTTATTTTTGTTATATTTACAGTAGAATACTCCAACAATATACTGTATATATATATATATATATATATATATACAGTATATAATAGGGCTGTGCAAAGATTAATTGCGATTAATCGCATCCCAAATAAAAGTTTGTGTTTACATAATATATGTGTGTATGCTGTGAATATTTTTTTTGTATGTATAAATGCATATGCATGTATATATTAAATAATTATTTGTACATAAATACTATATATATATATATATATATATATATATATATACTGTATATATAAACATAATCTATATTATATATAAATATACATATTTTAGATATGAATAATAACACATTTTCTTAAATATATACATGCATGTGTGTAAAATAATTATACACAGCACACAAATATATTACGTAAACACAAACTTTTATTTTGCATTTGATTAATCGCAATTAATCTTTGCACAGCCTAATATTTATACATGCATATCATTAAAAATAATATGTAAAACATCATGCATTATTATTATGGCATGACACATACTTCCCTATTATATAGGCCTACGTGAATTTAGTAGTCTATACTAAAGGGATAGTTCACCCAAAAATGATGACAGAACTTTCATCTTTGTGTGAACTATCGATTTAGTAGGCTAAATGATGTCACATTGCATTTGTAATACAATTAGTTAGAGGCATCCAGTTATGATCTCAGAAATAAATATGATTATTTTGCATTTATATTCCTTTTTTGACTGATATTAGTTCTGGTTCATTTGTTATATTGAGTATCACACACAGTGTTGTTTGGTTGCATACTGCACATTTTGGCAAATGTTAATTAAATGCATCCAGGCATTTAATGCATGCGGATTTGCATAATTGCATTTACATGATTTTGTTCAAAGCGGCACAACAAGTTTTTACATAGAGCCAACAATATTATACAACAGTAATGCCAGAATGCTCTTGGTAAACTGTAATCTAACTGAGATGCAAAAATAGTAGCATGATAGTATGCCATTAAAACTAAATGTGAACCTCCAAGATGTTTGTGGATTTACTGCCATGATGTTCTGTGCCATGATAGAGTCACAGGAGATTACATACTTCAGATCTTCTTGGTAACAGAATTGTGGCTTGATCTCTGTATTCTGGGGCGAAATATCTCGCTCCCGTAGGCCTTCACGCTCCGTTATGTAAGTACATTAAGATTCTCAGGTTTAATTTTGGCACGGCTCGAGCTAATGCATCTCATCCTGCGCGACACGCAGACACTCACAGTGGGATTGAACGGAGTCTGGCCCTCGGGGCCTTAATGATTATAATTAATTAATCTGTGTCAGTGTGATTGCAAGGTGCATTCCTTTCATTTTGTAAACACATATTTGTTCAGTGGAAGATTCATTTTGTTTTGTCATGTCACAATGATTCGATCAGCATCTGAATTTACTGTTTTCCATCAATAAAACGGAACAAAGAAATGACCTCTTTATAAATAAAAAAAGCTTCTATTGTTATCCGCCCTTTCATTAACCTTTAAGAGGATCACGTGTGTCCGCATCGCTGGAGGTCTGCTAATGATATTGCTTTGCTGCGATCGGTTGTGACCCCTATGGCCTTCTGGCCTGTGGTGACCTCAGCATGAATTCACATCCCTTTTCATATACATGCATTTCCAGACAATCTTTCGCTAGTCAACATAAAAATAAAGTACTGATAGTTATTCAGTCGAAAATAAATTAAGGTTTTTGATGAAAACATTCCAGGATTTTTCACCATATAATGGATTTCAGAGGGAACCAAATGATTCAAGGTCCAAAAGACAGTTTCAGTGCAAACTGTTCAAAGGACTTTAAACGATTTCAGATGATAAATAAGGGTCTCATAAAGCAAAACGATCGCTCATTTAATAAATATATAACAAAGTTTAAGTTTTATAAGCTCAAATGCTCGCCTTGCTCTGTTCTTTGAGGCACGCTTGTGACTCTTCTGTTCGAACTCGTTCATCAAAATGTCATTTGGTTCATTCAACGAACGAATTGACGTGGAAAAAGATTCGTTGGGTTTACGGTGCGCTAGATTGACTTTGCAAAAGAAAAAAACCTTTAAAACGGAGCGTTCTGTGAACGGAACGACGCATTTTAAATATCGCTCGATCACGCAAATTTGATCGTGGGAAGCCAAAATCGTGATCGTGATTAAAATTCAATTCAGCCCTACATCATGGTAACATGTTGAAAATTGATAAATGCAGTAAGCATTAATTTAACAACATTAAATGTAACAGTACGTAACTGATTAGAAAAAAACTAAGTTAAAATACATTAAATGTGAAGTGTCTCGCAGGGAATTGTGGGAATGTCAATTTACATTTTTTTCACTGTAAATTATACAATGACTTGTTCTTTTTCACTTCCAAAAACTGTAAATTGAACTGTATTTTACTGTAAAATTACATTAAATGCACCATTTTATATAGAAGGAAACTTTCTGTTAACCAATTAACAGTAGCATTTTTACAGTCTTTTACTGTTAAAATAATGATCATTTTAACAGTATTGTACATTTTTTAGATAAACTGCAATAAGCCACAAGTGCTGTCGATTTTGCTATTTAGAGCTTGCATAACAGCAGACAGATGTTTATATTTTCCATCATAGCTCAGCTCAATGTGTTGGACTACAGGTTATATTTTTCTGAACTGTTTTTCTTTGGTGCAGTCTTAAATATCATTTTTCACTCGTTCAGTTTCCTGCTCTGAATTCTAGACACTTTTTTTTTAAGCATTATCTGTCTTCTAAATTAGCCAGATTACCTCAGTCGAATTAAGGAAGTAGAAATGGCTGATGATTGTGGGTAAAATTGGATTTGCTGCATGGGTATCCTTTTGTGTGGATTAGTCTTGTCTACAGTGCAGTTTTATGCTGTTTAACTGGGGCTTCGAGTTCATGTTGTGTGAGTTCCTGCAGGCTTCATGCAAACTGGGATGGTGAGGAGGAGGAAGTGAAGACTCGGCTTATGCTGTGACTGCACACCAGGGTTGCAATAATAACTGATACATTTGAGTTGTTTTTTCTTTATTATTGCGACAAACACTGCAGATCATTGTACCACTCGAGATGACTTCATCTGCACCTGCCTAAAAAACATGACTCAACTCTGTGATTGTGTTCCTTTTATTTTTTATAGCAGCATAATGTTGTAAGAAATATTCTACATGTGCGTTCTGTGGAGGAAAATTTGTTTTATTTCTTTTCCAAAAGTCATTGAAAGACAAGAAACCTGACACATCATGTATTATGTTGCAGTTAAAGCCTATACCAAGTTATTGAATTACTCTGTTATACCATATTTACTCACCACACATTCATATTTTGACAAATATATATTTTTGTATAGGTTTATATATTTTGTTATATATTTTTTTTCGTAATAAATAACATAAACAAACAAGTTATTTATTTTTGAATTGTAATAATACTATTATCACTTTTACTGTTTTTTAATCAAATAAATGCAGCCTAGGTGAGCAAGAGACTTCTTTCAAATATTAGTGAATAAAAAAATAAAATTAATAAAATTGTTATTTCAGTTAGTTTGTCAAATGATATAATTTAAATGTAGTGACATTAAAGGGATAGTTCACCCAAAAATGAAAATTCTGTCAGTATTTACTCACCCTCATGTTGTTCCAACCCCGTAAGACCTTCGTTCATCTTCGGAACACAAATTAAGATATTTAAGATATTAAGATCGCTCCTGCATACAGTCCATAGGCTTCTTGAGGGACTGGCTCTTGCTGTCCTCGAAAAGTCATTAAAGACATCGTTAAAATAGTCCAAGTGACTACAGGGGCTCAATCTTAAGTTTATCAAACGACGAGAACACTTTTGTGCGCAAAAAACAACAAAAATAACGACTTTATTTCAACTATTCGTTTATTTCTCCCTCTGCGCGAGTCAGGTTACTAGTTTAATAGCGTTAGCTTCTGTTATTGTACGTCACACGCATCACACACACATGACCAGCATCGGCCAATAGTGAGCCTACGTGTGACGTAGCTCTACGCAATCACACTACGTTAACTGACTACAGGCTCATGGAGAAGGAAGTGAATAGTTGAAATAAAGTCGTTATTTTTGTTGTTTTTTTGCGCACAAAAGTGTTCTCGTCGTTTGATAAACTTAAGATTGAGCCCCTGTAGTCACTTGGACTATTTTAACGATGTCTTTAATGACTTTTCGGGGACAGCAAGAGCCAGTCCCTCAAGAAGCCTATGGACTGTATGCAGGAGCGATCTTAATATCTTAAATATCTTAATTTGTGTTCCGAAGATGAACGAAGGTCTTACGGGGTTAAAACAACATGAGGGTGAGTAAATACTGACAGAATTTTCATTTTGGGGTGAACTAACCCTTTAAATGGGCCTATCTGATATCAGATGATATAGTGCCATTGTCCTGTTTTGGGTTATGAATTTTTTTTTTTTTACAGTGTAGCCTATTCTGTATAAAAAAACTGAATTTGTGGTTTGTGGAGATACAAATGTAAGTGTTTTTACCTAAAGATATTAAAAGACATGAAATCTGACACATCATTTAGTACTGTGTTAAAGGGTTTTCACCCCAAAATTAAAATTCTCTCTTCAGTTTCTCACCCTCATGTCGTTCCAAACCTGTAAGACTTTCGTTCATCTTCAGAACACAATTGATCTTTCTGATCATGAAATCTGAGCTTTCTGTCACTCCATTGACAGCTATGCAACTACCACTTTCAAGCCCCAGAAAGGTAGTAAAGACATCATTAAAGTAATCCATGTGACTCCAGTGGCTTAACCTCAATTTTATGAAGTGAATCGACTACTTTGCGCAAAAAAACATAATTTGTCACTTAATTTACAAAATTTAATCTCCAACACATGTTCACACAGCAACGTCTGCTCTCGTGTCAACACGCATGTGTCGTGGTGCTCTCGTGAACACGCATTGGAGATTAATATTCTGTAAATGAACGAAAGTCTTCCGGGTTTGGAATGACAGGCGGGTGAATAATTAATAACAGAGAATTTTTTTATTTTTAGGTGAACCAATCCTTTAAAGTTATCAAGTTACACAGTTATACAGTATTTACTCACACATCCATTTTTTAGAATAATTTTATGTTGTTGGTTTTAAACTTTAAACCCTGTCGTATTTTCTTTAACTTTCTTTTTGTCATGAAACATAACCATGAAAGCTCTTTTTCTTTTTTTTTTTTTCTCTCATTTGGCGCTTGGCGAATGTTCATTTTGGACCCTAGCTGTGTCCAAAATGAAAAATATGTGAAATCTTCTCATTTTAAAATGGTTAAAGCATTCAGCATGTGGCCAGTCCTACATTGTATGCCGACTGCATGCTAAAATCCTTCAGAGGAAGTCATGTCTCCTTTAAAACAACGCTGCAAAAACAAAATCTGTAGTTAAAATCTCTAGTTGACCTCACCAATTGACTAGGCAGTTGTTGGATTGATGAGTTTACCACTCTGACCCATCCCTGCTGCACAGAAAACCATTTTGGCGTCCCATAGAGAAGTGTAAGCCGCGCCGCTTGTGTTCGATGTTACACATGTATATGCGAGTGTCCCACCACTCTCAAAAAAAAAAGGTACAAAAGCTGTTACTGGGGCTGTACCTTTTTAAAAGGTACACTTTTTTACCCAAAGGCTGCATATTGGTACCTTAGTGGTACATTAGCACCTAAAATGTACACATTAACACCTAAAATGTACATATTACCACCTAAAATATACATATCGGGACCTAAAATGTACATATTACCTCCTAAAATGGACATATTAGGACCTAAAATGGACATATTAACTCCTGAAATGTACATATTAGCACCTAAAACCTACATATTAACACCTAAAATGTATTTAACACCTAAAATGTACTTATTAACACCTAAAATTAACACCTAAAATGTACATATTAACACCTAAAATGTACATATTAGCTCCTGAAATTGACACATTCGCACGTAAAATGTGCATATTAGCACCTAAAATGTACCTATTAGCTCATGAAATGTGCATAGTAACACTTAAAATGTACATATTAGCGCTTGAAATGGACAAAAGTTTACTTTATTAAAAAAGGTACGGCCCCAGTGACGGCTTTTGTACCTTTTTTCTGAGAGTGCACAATCTGCTAATTGTTACTTGACTGCCTCTTACTCTTCAGACACGTAACATGAAGGAAATGCTGTATTTAAAATATGCTTGTTGCTGTGTAGACAGATGAGGGAGAGGATGTTGTGAATAATACAGTTAAATAAATCACCCTATTTATTTATGAGATTTACATTACACATATCGAATTAATTAGAGATGACAACAGGACTCACTGAATTAAACATGAATGGAATGAGGTCATGTGACGTTTTACTACAGTTGTTGTAGTTTTTTGTTAAATACTCCACACTTTCTCATGAACTATTGTTTTAGTCCTAGGCACACTTAGTACACTTTAGTAGATTTTTTCATATTTAGAAGAATATCAGTAACCAGACAGTTTCTGGTCCCATTGACTTTCATAGTAGGAAAAAAATATACTATGGAAGTCAACGAGACCAGAAACGGTCTGATTACTGATATTCTTCTAAATATCAGAAAATCGGCTGAATGGTTTCGAAAATGGTAAAACCCAACTGTTTACCTCTGGGGGAGTGGTAAAATGAGCTTATTTAAAAAAAAAAACAACAACAAAAAAAGTGGAGTATCCCTTTAATTTGGTTAATGATAATAGCCCCCATCTAAGCTAATTTAATTCTTTCAACTTTGCCATTGTCTCAGATGTCAGAATGAAGCACAGCATTCTAGTTAAGCACGTGTGTGTTGCATATTTAGTATGCATCCATTTTCTACATGTTCAATACACAGTAGATGTCTTGCACTATAGAACGATCTTCCTGGTCCTCTGCTGGTAACGTAGTGTTTTCCCCCTCAAACATGTCTCCACCTGCCTTGCTCACAGCGTTTTTGTCTTTTTTGAGCTGACCATGAAAAGTCAGCATTTAGCACAGCATCTCCAGGACATGATTGTTCACAGGACCGTTGGATTCACACACTATTCCCAAAAAGCATTTTTGGATAGCAATGATGCGATCCATCCTGTTTTACTCTCTTGCCTCTTGATTTTTCCTCAGAACTTGTACCAGAACAGGTTTCTCGGGCTCGCAGCAATGGCCTCTCCATCTCGTGCATCTCGTGGCAGGAGGCGATGTAAGGACCCGATTCGGCACAGTTTCAACCCTGAGCAGTTCCCCAACGTGGACTTCCAGAATGGCGTTTCTGAGGAGCTGGCGGCCGCCGTGCTGCGCTCCACCAGCGACACTGACCTCGTGACCTCCCACTGCCGCTCCACCCTCACCGTCAGCACCTCCAGCTACACCATCGGTCAGACGCAGGACATCACACTCTGCTGGGACATCAAGGAGGAAGTGGACGCGGGCGACTGGATTGGCATGTACCTCATTGGTGAGTGTGTTTGTGTTTGGACGTGTTTTATGCTATATAATAAATATTTCATTCAAATGTTTGGAAAATTATCAGGGGTTATCAAATTATCAAAATTATTACCCTTTTCAGGGGTCTTACCTCGGTTCGCTGGACTTTTGGCACATATGTGAACACTCGGGAGGTGGTATGAGTGTGCTTTGCCTTCAGCTTATGGTTCACTAAAAATGTGCATTGTGAAGTGAACACAAATCGCTCCAGCTCACTTCATTTTTTTAAATTCACAAACTCTAATTATTAGTTTGGTCAGATCAGATGCCTCCATACAAATCAGCTTTTTATCATGGCTGCTTTTTTACTGTCACTTTTGATCAATTTAATGCGTTCTTTCTGAATAAACGTATTAATTAAAAAAAAAAAAATATATATATATATATGCAGTATCTATCTATCTATCTATCTATCTATCTATCTATCTATCTATCTATCTATCTATCTATCTATCTATCTATCTATCTATCTATCTATCTATCTATCTATCTCTTAAATAATATATGTGAGCAGCATACACATGCTTGTATATATTTAAGAAATATTTTCATGTATATTCAGTATATAATTTATATTGTGTGTGTATATATATATATATACAGTGTATATATGTATATATATATATACACACATTTAAATATTTTATATATAAATATATTTTTTCTTAAATATACATGTATGTGTGTGTATTTATATATATATATATATATATAAATAATTAAATACACAGTGCACCCACATATATTATGTAAACACAAACTTTTATTTTGGATGCGAGCAATATATATATATATATATATATACACTCACCGGCCACTTTATTAGGTACACCTGTCCAACTGCTCGTTAACACTTAATTTCTAAGCAGCCAATCACATGGCGGCAACTCAGTGCTTTTAGGCATGTAGACATGGTCAAGACAATCTCCTGCAGTTCAAACTGAGCATCAGTATGGGGAAGAAAGGTGATTTGAGTGACTTTGAACGTGGCATGATTGTTGGTGCCAGAAGGGCTGGTCTGAGTATTTCAGAAACTGCTAATCTACTGGGATTTTCATGCACAACCATCTCTAGGGTTTACAGAGAATGGTCCGAAAAAGAAAAAAACATCCAGTGAGCGGCAGTTCTGTGGGCGGAAATGCCTTGTTGATGCCAGAGGTCAGAGGAGAATGGCCAGACTGGTTCGAGCTGATAGAAGGGCAACAGTGACTCAAATAACCACCCGTTACAACCAAGGTGGGCAGAAGAGCATCTCTGAACGCACAGTACGTCGAACTTTGAGGCAGATGGGCTACAGCAGCAGAAGACCACACCGGGTGCCACTCCTTTCAGCTAAGAACAGGAAACTGAGGCTACAATTTGCACAAGCTCATTGAAATTGGACAATAGAAGATTGGAAAAACGTTGCCTGGTCTGATGAGTCTCGATTTCTGCTGCGACATTCGGATGGTAGGGTCAGAATTTGGCGTCTACAACATGAAAGCATGGATCCATCCTGCCTTGTATCAACGGTTCAGGCTGGTGGTGGTGGTGTCATGGTGTGGGGAATATTTTCTTGGCACTCTTTGGGCCCCTTGGTACCAATTGAGCATCGTTGCAACGCCACAGCCTACCTGAGTATTGTTGCTGACCATGTCCATCCCTTTATGACCATAATGTACCCAACTTCTGATGGCTACTTTCAGCAGGATAATGCGCCATGTCATAAAGCTGGAATCATCTCAGACTGGTTTCTTGAACATGACAATGAGTTCGCTGTACTCAAATGGCCCCCACAGTCACCAGATCTCAATCCAATAGAGCATCTTTGGGATGTGGTGGAACGGGAGATTCGCATCATGGATGTGCAGCCGACAAATCTGCGGCAACTGTGTGATGCCATCATGTCAATATGGACCAAACTCCCTGAGGAATGCTTCCAGCACCTTGTTGAATCTATGCCACGAAGAATTGAGGCAGTTCTGAAGGCAAAAGGGGGTCCAACCCGTTACTAGCATGGGGTACCTAATAAAGTGGCCGGTGAGTGTATATATATATACAAACCTATGAATCACAGTGTATTCCTGAAGTTATAGATTCTTCAGAGCTGTGTATTTGGTTTCTGTGTTCTGGAGCACCGCTACAGAGATGTTTTTTTACTGCTTACACATGGTTAGAAACAAAATGATTTAATGTAAAAGGCCAGAAACATCACAAGCTTTTGAAGTCCATCTCTAACTCAGTAAAGTAAACTGACTAGTTTATTTCTCAGAATTTACTACTTTGTTTTTCATATTTGCACTTTATAACTCACAGTTTGACTATTTCTTGAAAATTGCAGCTTTATTTCTTGCAATTGCATCTTCATATCGCACAGTGTGACTCATGTTAAACTTTCGTCTTGGAATTACGTTTTTACTCTGAGGTGGAAATGAACTTCCATGCAAGCTGACTTTTTCATGTTTAGTAAAACATGCACTACTACACTTAGAAATGTTTCTTGCAAGGACAATTCCAACTACAATGCGGCAACCATTGGAACTGGGAATGATAGTCGCCAAAAGACTGATATTGAGAGAATGGAAGTCCCCTCCTTTCTTTCAGGCATGGGTCACTGATATGCTATCCATAATACAAATGGAAAAACTCCGCACTACTCAAATGGACACATTTTTTTCGTTCTTGGAACCCATTCCTAACACATTTTGAAAGGTTAAATTACAGTAAACTGACTATGTTAACAACATTTCCTGTTAGACATGATTGTAACAATTGGCAATTGCTGCATCTGAGCCCTGTTTGTTTGTTTGATTGTCTGTCTGTCTATTTGAAAATGTAAATAAAATCTCTCTCTCTCTCTCTATATATATATATATATATATATATATATATATAAAGAAATGTTTCTTGCATATTCATCATGTTAGAATGGTTTCTGAAGGATCATGTGACACTGAAGGCTGGAAAATTCAGCTTTGCATCACAGGAATAAATTACATTTCAAGATATATTCAGATAGAAAAAAATATTTTAAATTGAAATATTTCACATTTTTACTCAGTCTAAATTATTAATATTAAATAATAGTCATTATTATAATTACTAAATTATTCCAAACTTTTACTGGTAGTGATAAAATGAATTGGTAAAGAAATCATATGTTTTTGTTTAACATAAAAACATGATATATGTGTGATATGTGTGGTATATTGGATTTCAGATAGACAGGGGAAATATAAAGTGGCTCTGCAATGTGGCAAAAATAAAAACGAAATAAAGTTTGTCCCTCAGCCGAAGGCCACACATTTCCATGGATTATAATGAGAGCGATATAGTTTTGTCTCATGTGTCTGGTGTTATAAAGGTTCTCTGATGGCCTTTAAAAGCTGCTTTAGTTTGAGTTCGAAAGCTTTCTCGTCTTTTAGAACTACAATGAATGAAAAATCAAAAGATGTGATCTTCTGTATGCCATAATTGTGAATAATAAGATAAGAGGGCTTTTCTTTTCTCTTTCTCTTAGATGAGGTTCTGTCTGAGAATTTTCTGGACTACAAAAACAGAGGTGTGAATGGCTCCCATAAAGGTCAGATCGTCTGGAAGATTGAGGCCAACTCCTACTTCGTTGAACGTATGTGCAGTTTTACGTAAAACATTCTCATTAAATCATTGATGAACATTATAGACACTTATTTCCCACAAACAGGATGCCATTAGCAAATCTTAGCTTGTGGCTGTAAATATGTATGGCTGCTATGGTAACAAACACCAAGACAAACCACTTTCATACTAACAAAATGATCAAAGATGGTGCAAGTTGAAAAGTGTGAAGATAAATTCATTTAGGTGTCGCACTCTCATTTCATAGCACTCAAAAATATATTTTGTTTTAATATAGTGTGTTTCATGACACGATGTGCTGGTGCCCTGTTTTTTTTTTGTTTTTTTTTACAAATTAGTGATTGGGGTTCATTTATTTCAGTAATTCAACTTAAAAGGTGAAACTAATATATTATATGGACTCATTGCTTGCAAAGTGAGATATTTCAAGCCTTTATTTGTTATAATTTTGATGATTATAGCTTACAGCTTATGAAAACCCCAAATTCAAAAATTTGCATATTGTGAAAAGGTTTTCATTGCTGTAAAAATAGTAGTATGTAATTAAATGCATTTATGGTGAGATCACTACATTTAATTTAATTTAATGCATTTATGATGCAATTCATTGTCGTGTCAATCCGTCTTCATTTTGACCATGAACCATGTGCTGTCACTTTAATTTAGCGCTTGCAGCACAGCAAAATAGACTCGCCAGACCACAGTGCAGTGTGAAATCTTGCTATCTTGTCTTTTTTACAAGTCTTACACTGTACTTAAACTTAAAACATTGTCTAGTCTAAACATTGAAGCGTAAGATCATTGGACTTGACCAGGTGTGGACAGCTCAGGTGTACAATGAGCTTCTTTTTAAAAAGACTGACTAAATCCTCAATGACCCCACTCACCCTCTCCAATATAAATTTATGAGAGGTAATAGGTCAGCTGGTAGAATTTTACAACAGAAAGGTACAATAAATCATTTGTACAGGATCAGATTGTCTAATGATCAAGCACATTGCAAGCTATCCCATTTTTAGCTACCTGATAATATTAGACGTTTTTAAAGGGATAGTTCACTTTGAAATTCATTTTTGGTATGTTTTAGCTTACCTCAAGGGCATCCAAGATGTAGGTGTCTTTGTTTCCACAGTATTTTCAATTTTGATATTTTTAGGTCGAACCGTTCTTGTCTGTCAGATATAATGAAGGTCTATGGTCACCACCTCAAAGAGCATGCACAGAGAAGTCCAAATTAAACATGATTTAATGACTCGTAAATGTAAGTACACATCGATGGCCTAAGACACGAAACGAGCGGTTTGTGTGAGAAAACGAGGGTTTTTACCTCTTGTAACCACAGCCACGTCCAAGTGATCTGACAAGGGCACGTATTGAATGACCATATGAACTTCCTAACAATCGAATCAGTCTTTTAAAATGTAATCAAATCAAAAGAAATGTATATAATTTCTTTAGCAACTGAACACTGCATTCATGGTGTTTTAAAGCAGATCAGATGTCATATGTGAGAATAACTTGTCCTATAATTTAAAATATATTAAAAGTAATTAGAAATATTATAATAAATCAAATGACTCATTGGCCATCATTTGGCAAATAGCAAGACTTTTATTTTCCTGTGTCGATGTGTTTCTTATTGAAAGAGGAAGTTGGTGTGGGATATATTTAAGGGCTCTTAAAAAAAAAAAATAATAACCACATTCAACTATTTTTTACCTTGAACGAAACCAGTGACGAACATTTCCAGACACTTCCTTCGCAACCAAATGATGGTTGGGGGCCTGAAAAAAAGTAAGCGACCAATACACAGACAATATAGACTTGCTATTTATAGCTGGTGACAACATTTATAATTCACTTGGTGGGCTGGAAACTATTTATCACCTTCTAGACAGCCTTTATAGGCCACTGTGAACGACATGAGTTAAGCCTATCTAGAAGAAAAAGAAAATGTAAATATGTCAGTTTCCTTGCTGTGACCTTTGACATTTTCTGTGCTTGGCTCTTTTTCAGTGGAGACTAAAATCTGTTTCAAATATTATCATGGACTGAGCGGAGCACTGCGGGCCACCACACCATGCGTGACCGTGAAGAACCCGTCCGCACCGGTGAGCAAATCAAAAAAAGAAACATTTATTTTTGTCATAAAGTATGTAGGGACCAGTCATGTGACCTCCTGATGTGTGCGTCCATAGCATGATATTACAGATGTGAGGGGAATGCAGCTGTTTTATCTTGCGTCACATTTCATCAAGAGTTTTTCAAGAGCAGAATAGTCCGTGCCATCTGTTTCTCAGAGGATTAATGCTGCAGATAATCTCAGGTTATCATTTGATGGCTTAATACAGGCCTCTATACCCACAGAGAAAACCAAACTCTCTTTTTGTTTCTTAAAAGTAAAGTGTGTCATTTAGAGGACACAAGTGATGTGTTTTTCACCTTATTAACTCCACAGAAACTTAGTTTTCCCCACACCTAGGTTCACATTACATCAATCATTAGCTCCTATTATGCTATTTTTAAGATTTATTTTTGTTTTGGAGGTCTCCTACAATAGGTTTACATGTATCAAAGGTCAGAAACACTTTAAATTTATCATAATGTACATTGCAGCATCACCCATTTTGCAGGCCTCAGCTACAAATACAGTGTTTGAGGACGTTGTACGCAGGCAGCCAGTGAAGACCATAGGTTAGCATTATGCATATTTGTTACCAGGTTTGTGCAGGTATATTACTGACGACTCGTTTTGGCAGTTCAGAATTGTTTGTTTCTTTAGAGAGACTATGGGACCCTATCTTGCACCCGGCGCAAATGACTTTTTACACTGACGCATGTATCATTCCTATTTTGCACCCGCGCAAAGCGGGCTTTTCTCTCCACGGACGCATTTCGGTAAACTAGGGAATGAACTTGCGCTCCCTGGGCGGGTTGGCGCTAAACGGAGGCGTGTTTCGGCGCAAACATTCCCTGGTGCTATTTTGCAGTTCCAGAAAACAATTGCGCCACTGACCAGAAAAAACCTGGTCTAAAGTCAGTGGCGCGTTGTTCATAATTAGTGATGCACCGATGTGAAAATTTATGGCCGATACCGATATTTACCGATGTCGATATCCCTGTATAGAAAACACATAGCGAGGATTAGGGCTGCACGATATTGGTAAAAAATGACATTGTGATATTTTTATTTTTCTGTGATATATATTGTGATATAAAAACAATTTCACCAGATTACTTGAATTGCTCTATTTGGAAAGAATGAATCATTCTAGAATGACTGGGGTAGTTTTGTCATGGAGTAAATCCTCAGAAACTAATATTAATAGAATGTTAACAAAATTTGTTAACATTCTATTAATCTATTAACCTTACAATTTACAATAAGGTTTCAATTATTAAAGTGCACATTTAATGTACACTTTAATAAATGGAACCTTATTGTAAAGTGTTTCCGATTTATGTCTCTTGAGCTCAGTGTTGGACAGATCAGTTGTTTTAACCATTCATTAAAGTGAATCGGTTCAAAGGAGTCATTAGTTCGCGAATTAGATGTGTCATTAACGGAACCACGGCACACGTTGTGTGATTATCCAGGCAGTTTAGAACATCGCACGAGATTTGTCTCGACCTATTTTTACAGTCTATGGTCTCGACAGTCGACACAGAAAACATTTCATCAACACGATAGATTTTTTTTTTGCTTTATTGAAAGTATGGTTTCACAATTCACAACCAGTAGTTCAGAAGAAAAAAACTTCGGTCTTCCGACCTTTTACCATCGTGTATGCTCAAAGATATTCAGTCAACTCAATTCATAAACATGCGCGAGGGGGAGAGAGAGAGAGATGAGAGAGAGAGCAAGACATTTTGAAGACGGCGCGCGTGACCGGTGCTTTCACTCTCGTTCCCTCAGTTAAACGAGTGAAAGACATTTTGAAGACGGCGCGCGGGACCGGTGCTTTCACTCTCGTTCCCTCAGTTAAACAAGCGCAGCAGTCACTCATCTACATCACTTACCGGTCAAATATGGCTTTGGCGGGACAAAAATACGCATTAGGAAGGCTGGCAGAAAACAGCTCACCAGTTCCAGTCTTCGTGCGCTTGATGTTTAAACGCTCTTGCGCTTTTAATACACGTGCACGTCAAATACACAGGGAATGATCATCGGCCTGTTCACTGCGGCCCTATTTTGACATCGGAACGATACCGATGTGTAAAAAATTGACCAAATCGGCCGATGTTATATCGGCGGCCGATATATCGTGCACCACTATTCATAATGCTATTTTAAGCGCGCATGCTTGGCCATAATTTTGCGGGTGCACAACGCGCATACACTCTCATCAACACAGATGCACAGATGTGAATTTTTTTCTAACTCGTTAGTTTAGATCGTATTTAAATATAAAATGTATGACAAATAAGGGCTGTTAACTTTGATTGACAGCTGATAACGAGTGAATTTGACGTCTCGCCCATGATCTGACACAACACATCATACCACCTCTGTATCCTTTCTGAACATTTGTATTTTGTATTTCCCAAGATTTTCCAGTATGGCGCCGCCCATACCCCCCATAAACAGCCTCAAACCCGTTCTTCAGAGAGTCTATGAGTCACGTCACAGATGCTTTGTCCATATTTTTTACAGTCTATGCTGTTAACGCTCCTTTTGCACGCCTGCTAAATCTGCCATAATAATAGCAATCCGCCATGCAACATGCGCACCTGCTCTTAAAGGGTATGTTGGATGACGCTCTGATTGGTTTATTGCATGTTACGCCCAAACCACACCTATGAATAATGAAGCTATTTCAGACCAACCCCTTTTAAACTTGCGTCGGGTGCAAGAGTCATTTATCCCGCCGGTAAAATAGCAACAGCGCCGAGATCCGCCCACAAAGTTACTTGATACTTGTGTTTCAGATCGGTAAATTGGGCCCAATAACTCTATTTATCATGCACTTTGAACTTTTTACGTTCACAAACAGTTATTTTACACTGCATGAAAGGTAATATTCAGAAAACAAAAGCATAATAGGTGCACTTTAAACATTTCATATATCTGATCATTGAATTTCAGAGCACTAAAGACTTAATATCTTAATACCATCCTTGATATAATCTTTCTATCTTCCTGTCAGTTTCGGTCCCACCGAATGTCAGCATCAGCTTACCTCTTTTTGAGTTATCAGCCAAATTAATGTGTGAAAAACATATTTCAACGCTTCGGCGTTAGTTACTAACCCCTGTTGGCTTGTTGCATTATTGAGAATGGCGGTGATGTAAGAATGGTAACGTCTCTGACCTAAAAAGTCAAAAAGACAAAACCTTCATGAAAATGTACAATTTTGAATTCTCATTTTTTTATTGTTGCAATGAGGAACACAATTACAGTTTTTTATTTATTTTTTTTGGCTGAGAACTGAAAGATCATCTTAAATATGATGCTGTGAGACTGTGAGTGATTTGCCCAGCTTTTTGATCAGGATATGGCTGCTGATTTTAAAAGGTGTGTAGCTGTTTCCAATGAACTTCTGAACTTTCTGCCGTCAGGTGTTTAAGCCGGTGGCCACAGATGACGTGCCTCAGAGTCAAGGCAGAAGAAGACTCATCAGCTTCTCTCTGTCAGGTGTGTGTTTCCATAAAAACTGCTATGGCCCAACAGTGGATCATTAAGCTTTAGCAATATTCTTGGGGCTTCTATATTTAGTTTATCCAGGGGATTTCATTATTGATCCAACACTTGCAGTCTCCTGTAAACAACTATAGGAACATGTTTACCTCAGTTACTTATCCTTACAAAAAAAAAACACTTCTGCAAGGTACTTTTGGGAAACCAGTGTTCATCTTTGTTGAGCAATTAAGATGCAAATCCTGGTCATGTAATGCTAAATGTTCTAATACTCTGGATTATTCTGTTTTCTTCTTTTCTCCATTCTTTTTGTTACTTGTTGTGATATTTGTGTTCTCTCTGTTCTGTTTTTGTAATATTCACTTTAGTTTTGTTTTATCTTGTTCTATTCTGTTTAGTTTGTTCTGTTTTATTCATTTTGTCATTCTTTTTGTTCTCTTCCATTTTGTTCTATACTCTTTTGTTCAATGCTATTTTTTTCTGTTTTATCTTGTATATTCTTTCTGTTCTCTTCAATGCCTGTTTTGTTCTGCCATGCTATCTCCTGTTCAAATCTCTTCTTTTATATGGTGGTCTATTTCTGTTCTATAACAGAAAAGTGACTTGTGTGAAAAATACAGTGTTTTTTTACACGCGAAACATGAACACATGTTGCTCCAACGCGTTCTCATCCCAAAGCGCCATATAGGACGCTTTTGCAAAAGCGTAAATATCCAACGCACATGGCACCCTTTAACGTCTAATTAGACGCTTCGGTTAGGGTTAAGTTTAGGTAAGGTGTAGGGTAAGGGTTAGACCACTAGGGGGCGCCTTCTGCCCAAATATATCTGCGTCCCATTTCACGTTAAAGGGTGCCATGTGCGTTGGATATTTACGCTTTTGCAAAAGCGTCCTATATGGCGCTTTGGGATGAGAACGGGCTCGTTATACTGCACAATCAAAGCTTCAAAAAACATGATGAACGGGACCTTTGAAGCGGGTAATGAGATGTTTTTTAATATTATTATTTTAATATGGTTTTTGGAGTCCACTAATGATGTTAATGAAATTTTTTTGCACACATAAAAAACAAACATATCTAGAACAGGTTCCTGTTCCTCCTATGATGCAATGGTGTTTACTATTCGTCAATGTCTTGCTCTGGTGGCAAGCATATGCGAATGTATTTGTCCGTGTGATGTCACAAATCCCACAATATCTAAATAAATTGTTTAAATAAATGCTTTGTTTGTAATGAGAAATACGTTTTATGCCATGAAACTTACAGGATATTTTAGAACAAAGACCTCTTATATGTCAAAAGTTCATGGCCAATTTGATTTATCATGTCATGACCCCTTTAATATCCAGCAATATTTGATTTGACTTAAACTTGAACTGAATTGATCTGAATAATGACATATTTCTGCTTTATATGTGTTTTTTTCTTTTTGGATGAACTGAACTGACTGGAGATTGATTACATCATTACTGTCTTCAGTAGAGCTGCTTATAACTGAATTGTTTCATATTGAATGAACTTTACACAGTTATTGAATTGAATTTACTGAATTGAATCAACGCTGATATGAATTTAGCTGAATGACGACACTATTATCTTCCTACACCTTATCTTTCTCATGTTTGATGCATCAAGTTTGCGTCATTAATTCTGTTGCTGGCCTGTTTATCACTGTGAATCTGCTTTGAAACCATTTCTATTGTATAAAGTGCTATAAAAATAAAGCCGACTTGACCTCTAATTGTAATTCATCTCTTTGTCTTTATGTTGTGGTCAGACTTCCAGGCCACCGGGCTGAAGAAAGGCATGTTTTTTAACCCCGATCCCTACCTAAAGATCGCCATCCACCCCGGCAAGCACAGCATCTTCCCTGCCCTGCCTCACCACGGCCAGGAGAAGAGATCAGGCATCGTCTGCAATACCATTAATCCCGTTTGGCAGAGGGAGGTATGGGAAACAAACAAGCACATACACACTCTAGATTAAACATAAATCCTTATAAAACAATATCTGATCCCACTATTATTGTTCACAGACGTTTAACCCAACGCTGCCCTTCGCGTTTTGTATTCCACATGGAGTTTGTCATGTAAATCCTTCATTCTGCAAATTAACTTGATGCGTCACTGCAGAATCCCAAACACGGCTCACTGTCCTGTGACCGACGGACCGGATTTACTTCAAATCTTTTTCTGTTTTCATTAGAGAGCATGTCATCTTTGTAGGGCTGGGAATTGAGAACCGGTTCTATTTATAAACAAATATGGGAACTGTATGATTTGAGTCATTGGTTTAAAATGGCTCGCTCACTAACAGTCACAATTAGAGAGAAGAATATAGACACACAGAATATAGATACCTTTCAAATGTTTGGGTAGGCTAAAATATGTTTTTGAAAGACGTCTCTTATGGTCAACAAGGCTCCATTTAGGGATGGGCAACGATTAATCGCGATTAATCGCATCCAAAATAAAAGTTTGTGTTTACATAATATATGTGTGTGTAGTGTATATAATTCATTTGTATATATAAATACCCACACATGCATGTATATATTTAAGAAAAATGTGTTATTAATATATCAAATATTTATATTTATATTTAATATTAATTGTGAATAAATATATATAAAATATACACATACACATATTTCTTAAATATATACATGCATGTGTGGGTATTTATATATACAAATTAATTATACACACTACACACACATATATTATGTAAACACAAACTTTTATTTTGGATGCGATTAATCGTTGCCCTTCCCTAGATGCATTCGAACAAGATACAGTTCAAATTGTAATATTATTACAGTATTATAATAATGGTTTTCTATTTTTACAATCTTTGAAAATTATTCAAGCAAGTGTCAGTCTTCAGTGTCACATGATCCTTCAGAAATCATTGTAATATGCTGATTTGCTGCTCATTCATTTAATATTGAAAACAGTTGTGCAGCTTAGTATTTTTTGTGAAAACCATGATTTTCAGGATTCTTTGATGAATAGAAAGTTCATAAGGACAACATTATTTGTCACTTTTGATCATTTTACATCCTTGCTGAATAAAAATGGTAATTTCTTTTTAAAATAAAATCTTACTAACCCCAAACTTTTGAACGGTAGTAGATAGTATATGTAATGTAGGATGAATTATTTGGTGCTTTATCAAAAGTATTCAAAACCTTAAAATAACAATAATCTTTAAATGCATTGAGAATCCGAATTCCTCACAATTCACATCACTAAGTCTTTTTGGTGCAGATGAGATGAGATGTTGTAGAGTGGCTGTTTCTGGATGATATTGTCCTCCGCTAAGTGCTCTTATTAGATTTGTGATGAGTAGAGGAGATCGCCTTACAGCAGAGGATTGAAATAGGTCAAGATATGTGGAATAAATGATGGAGAGCGTGTTTCTTTCCTTGCTATCCGTTTTTGAAAAGATTTGAGTGAGACCCTTTGGTTAGTGCTGTATTTTTTTTAGGTGATAATAATAGCTGAACTTAATATAGCTTAAATTAAATTAACCTAAAAAAATTATGTTTAACATTAAAAACGTAATGTTAATGCTTTTGACTTAAAAACTAGAAGGTTAATAGACATGCTATGCATCAACTGCCCATACAACTTTATATATTAATATTTGGAATGCCAACACAGCCGAGCTCCAAATATTAACATATTGCGAACATATTTGGGTGGCTTTTATGACCATTTTATCTGTTCATTTTGTTTTTCTACTTTTGAAAATATGACATATTAGACACTACAGCATCATCCATCTACTGTACGATGTAGAATGACTTCTCACATTGCATTCACATTACTTTGTAAAATACCAACAAGTTTACTTTTTTTCATATTAGGGTTACAAGTTCTTCTTGAAATGATTGCAGTCTCTTCCTCTGTGTCTTTGTGTTTCTTTCACACAGCGCTTTAATTTTGTGTCTCTGCCCACGGATGTGTTGGAGATTGAGGTGAAGGACAAGTTTGCCAAAAGCCGACCCATCATAAAGCGTTTCTTGGGCAAGCTGTCCATGCCAGTGCAAAGATTACTGGAGAAGCATGCTATCGGGTACGTACTCAAAGAAAATCAAACCTTAATGAAAATTTGTTGTGCTATTGAGTTGAAATACTAATTGCAAGGTGTTTTATAATAGTGATCGAGTGGTCAGTTACACTCTGGGTCGGAGGCTTCCAACAGAGCATGTGAGTGGCCAGCTGCAGTTCAGGTTTGAGATTACCTCCTCCATCCACCCAGGTAATTCCAGTTTTTATTCTACCTTTTATTAAACATAATAAATCCTTAAAGGAGTAGTTCACTTTAAAAAAAAAAACTTTTGCTGATAATTTACTCACTCCCACGTCATCCAAGATGTCCATGTCTTTCAATCTTCAGTCAAAAAGGTTTTTGATGAAAACATTCCAGGATTTTTCTCCATATAATGGACTTCAATGGGAACTAAACGGTTCAAGGTCCAATTGAGAGTTTCAGTGCAGCTTCAAAGGGCTTTAAACGACACCAGATGATGAATAAGGGTCTTATCTAGCGAAACGATCGGTCATTTAAAAAATAAATCAAAAAGTTTGTTTTATAAGCACAAATGCTCGCCTTGCTCTGTTCTGTGATGCGCGTTCGTGACTCTCCTGTTCAAACTCGTTCATCAAAATGAACGAATCTTTTTTTGAGTCTTCATTTCGTTCGTTGAATGAACGAAATACTCAAACAGATTTGTTCATTTTGATGAACGAGTTCCGAACCGTGAAATTAAATCGAATCAAAGATTTGGAGAATCGTGACACCCCTAATTATTAAAGGATTAGTTCACTTTTCAAAAAACTTTTGCTGATAATTTACTCACCCCCATTTTTCTCCATATAATGGACTTCAATGGGAACCAAACGGTTCAAGGTCTAAAAGAAATTTCAGTACAAACTGCAAACTGTTCAAAGGGCTTTAAACGATTCCAGACGATGAATAAGGGTCTTATCAAGCGAAATGATCGCTCATTTTTTTTTTAAAAATAATAAAGTTTAAGTTTTATAAGATCAAACGCTCGCCTTGCTCTGTTCTGTGGTGCACGTTTGTGGCTCTCCTGTTCGAACTCGTTCAACAAAATGAACAAATCTTTTTCCAAATCAATTCGTTCGTTTTTTTCGCCGAATGAACCAAATGACTCGGAAAAAGATTCGTTCATTTTGATGAACAAGTTCGAACAGGAGTGCGTTACAGAACAGAGCAAGGCAAGCGTTTGAGCTTACAAAACTTAAACTTTGTTATTTATTTATAAAACGAGCGATCGTTTCGCTTGATAAGACCCTTATTCATCGTCTGGAGTCGTTTAAAGCCCTTTGAACAGTTTGCAGTTTGTACTTAAAGTTTCTTTCGGAACTTGAACCGTTTGGTTCCCATTGAAGTCCATTATATGGAGAAAAATCCTGGAATGTTTTCATCAAAAACCTTAATTTCTTTTCGACTGAAGAAAGAAAGACATGGACATCTTGGATGACATGGGGGTGAGTAAATTATCAGCAAAAGTTTTTTGAACTACTCCTTTAATGTCTTAACTGTCAATTTTGATTATTAAATCAAATGCATCCTTCCTGAATAAAAGTATTCATTGCTGATCCTAAACATTTGAGCAGTAGTTTAGTTAATTATCATGAACCATCATATTCTTCTAATACTGGTTTAATCAGACCACTCATGATAGCATTAAAGTCATATTATTTCCAGTATTGTACCATGTAGGTCACATGTTTCTGTCCTCTCCACAGATGATGAGGACATGTCTCTCAGTACAGAGCAGCCAGTGGCAGTCCAACCTCAAGCAGAAGACACCATGAGCTTAAACCAGGAGGCCCCAGAGTTGCCCTTAGATGGAGATACAGCTTCTGTAGAGATGCCCATGGACGTTGAATCCGGGCAGAACTGTCCAACTGAGGAAGATGCAATAGAGGAAGAGCCTTTAGAGACAGAGCAGCAACAAATGGAGAGCCGCGAACAAATGGAGCACGGTGGACCCGACATGGAAGTACAAGAGACGGTCCAAGAGGAGGCAGAATCTGATAGTGCCTTCGCCGATGAGCCTGCTGGAGTCGAAGAGGAGGCGATCTCGGACCCGCAGCCAGTTTCAGAGGACCCAGAGGTGGATCTGGAGGAAGGCTGCTCGCTCAGGATCAGAACCACACCGAGACGGAAGCCACGACCCTGCTCTCTACCCGTGTCTGAGCTGGAGACCGTCATCGCTTCAGCCTGTGGCGAACCCGAGACGCCACGCTCCCATTACATCCGAATCCACCACCTGCTGCACAGCCTGCCATCCACCCAAACTCAACCAGGAGATGCAGCTCCCGACAGGCCGCAGGGCGTAGAGGAGGAGGAAGAGGAGGAGGAGGAAGAGGGTGCGACACTCGAGCCTCATGCTTTAACACCCAACGGCCCCCGCAGAACGCTTCCCCGCAGCCGCTCACACGAGCGCCTCTCCGACCTCATTCAAATGCTCGACGGAGATGGGCAACCGCTCGGGGCTGAGGGCCAAACCGGAGTTCAGAGGTCACCAGGGGAAAGCGAATGCGATTTGAGCCCGGTGCCCTGCTGCAGTCATATGGCACATCCAGTGCGGGCGCCGTCTCTAGACAGCGCGCGTAGATCCGAGAGCACTGTGTTCTCCTCACAGGATGACGAGGACGAGATGGACAGGGTGAACGGTATTCTGGGATTCGAGGGAGAGACCGAACAAGGCGCTAAGAAACGGGAGCCGGGGGATGGAAGCTGTCAGTGGGAGGAGGCGCCAGACAGTCACGTCCAGAGCCCGCATGGCATTATGGAGAACGGAGAATCACCTGTAGCTGGTCCGAGCAGCAGGAGTGAGTAGACTGGGTTTCCATGCATACTGTAGATCATGTGTTATTATTATTTTTTTTTTAATAAGGTCTAGGTTTTCCCTTTAGCAGCTACTCTAAAGCTGGAGGTGTCCAAACTCGGTCCTGGATGGCCACTGTCCTGCAGAGTTTAGACCCAACCCCAATTAAACACACCTGAAACAGCTAATCAAGGTCTTGATTGGCTGTTGAAGGTCATTAGGCATGCTAAAAACTAGAGCCAGACCAGAGAATGTCTAATTGAAGAGAATTGGCACTGGCTGGTTACTTCCGGTTTCTGGGCTGGCTGCAGTAACACGTCTCTGTCCATGCGGGGGCGCTCGCGGTCGAGTGCAGAATGAATGGGAGTCAATGGGGTTTCACCCCCATGAAATCCACTTTTCTCAGGATGTATTTTTTTGTCAAGTAATTTGAAAGTTGCATTCAAAAGGGAGGGCTAAGATAATACACTCAGCTGAAAATTGCATTTTTAAGTTCACTTATCTGTTGTAAAAATCCTTTCAAAAATGTGATGACGTCACACAATAGCAGAATGCTAGCGTGTTCCAGCCAACAATAGCCTAACCTGTAAGAAATCGAAAGGACATAAGTACTCGTTCATTCGACTTTTGGCCTATAATCTATATTGAACTTGCGGAACCAACAATAAAATCTATTTTGATTTAACGACAAGCAGGTGAAAGAGACACTTTTAGCCGTTTAGCCCCATAGACTCCCATTCATTCTGCTCTCGCCCGCGATCACCTCCAGTGGAATTCTAATGAAACTGCATGCAACCAAGATAATACACAATAGGGCTAATAGGAAGTGCCAAGGCTCTCCTTTAGACGGGCTCTGGCCAGACCGATTTATCGGCAGGCCGTTATTATCGGCCGATATTAGGCATTTTCCGAACTATCGGTATCGGCAGTTATAATGGCCGATAAATGAACATTTCAAAAATAAAATAAAAATGGACGAAACGTGCTTGAACCATGTCATGAGTGTTGGAGTTGTATAGTTTGTCCACCAGAGGGCACTCTACACTGTTCCTGTTGGCAACACTCGTTGAGTTGGGTACGAGACATACATTGCTTGAATAACAATTAAAAGAACATCCCCATCAGTTCTCTTAACTCAAATAAGCATGACAAAATTTGTGACTATCATGTCCAGTTTTGCTGCTGTTAAATAAGCCGAGAGTGAAGCGGAATCAGCTAATAATAGTTACGTTTTGTTGTTACAGTGTAGTTGACTGACTGTCCTTTTAACTTTTGACAATGTGACTGAAGTATTTCTTTAATAGCGCGTGACCGTTATAGCAATGAGATGTATCATCTCTCCCTGGCCTGTTATATTGAAAATGTAAGTTTTGCAATTTGCAGTATGACTTAATCCATTGCTAAATTATGGCTCATCATAGACTAGCTAACCACAAAGCCACTATCATCAGTGTGTTCTGTTGTGACAATAAAAGAAACAAGTTTCTTTTTAAAATGCATGATCATATTATTTTAGTTAAAACTCATAAATAACTACAAATAACTAATGTTAGGGAAATCTGTTAATGTTTTGTTGCGCGTTATATCGGCCAATATATCGGAATATCGGATTTTAAAACCAACCAATATTTGTATCGGTATCGGCCTTCAAAATCCTTTATCGGTTGGGCTCTACTAAAAACTTACAAGCAATTGTGTTGAGGCAAGTTGGAACTAAACTAACTATGTAGGACAGTGGTTTTCCAGGACCGAGTTTGGACACTTCTGCTCTAAAGTATCTATGAAGAATGCACTGGCTTGTGTTTGTGGTATGTTTAGGAGAATGTCCTTTGCCTTGTAACCATCCTGCAGTGAGCCAGCTACCAGCACTGCGGCCCGACCCACATCACTATCCCACCATAGACGAGCCGCTGCCCCCAAGTGAGTTCTGCTGTCTCATCACGCACTGTAATTTATTCTATGTACTACAGATGATTCGCCTATAAATTATACATAGTTATCAAAATAATAATATATATTAAAGAAATGAATACTTTTATATAGTAAGGACACATTAAATTGATAAAAAGTGACAGTCAATCAATGTTACAAAAGATTTCTATGAATGGTGTTGTTCTTTCTGTTTATGAGTAGATTCACTCCACAGTTTCCACATGAATATTAAAGGGTTAGTTCACCCAAAAATGAAAATTCTGTCAGTATTTACTCACCCTCATGTTGTTCCAACCCCGTAAGACCTTCGTTCATCTTCGGAACACAAATTAAGATATTTAAGATATTAAGATCGCTCCTGTATACAGTCCATAGGCTTCTTGAGGGACTGGCTCTTGCTGTCCTCGAAAAGTCATTAAAGACATCGTTAAAATAGTCCAAGTGACTACAGGGGCTCAATCTTAAGTTTATCAAACGACGAGAACACTTTTGTGCGCAAAAAAACAACAAAAATAACGACTTTATTTCAACTATTCATTTATTTCTCTCTCTGCGTGAGTCAGGTTACTAGTTTAATAGCGTAAGCTTCTGTTATTGTACGTCACACGCATCACACACACATGACCAGCGTCGGCCAATAGTGAGCCTACGTGTGACGTAGCTCTACGCAATCACACTACGTTAACTGACTTACAGGCTCATGGAGAAGGAAGTGAATAGTTGAAATAAAGTCGTTATTTTTGTTGTTTTTTTGCGCACAAAAGTGTTCTCGTCGTTTGATAAACTTAAGATTGAGCCCCTGTAGTCACTTGGACTATTTTAACGATGTCTTTAATGACTTTTCGAGGACAGCAAGAGCCAGTCCCTCAAGAAGCCTATGGACTGTATACAGGAGCGATCTTAATATCTTAAATATCTTAATTTGTGTTCCGAAGATGAACGAAGGTCTTACGGGGTTGGAACAACATGAGGGTGAGTAAATACTGACAGAATTTTCATTTTTGGGTGAACTAACCCTTTAAGCAGCACTACGGTTTTAAACATTGATAATAATAAGAAATGTATTTGAGCACTAAATCAGTATATTACAATGGTTTCTAAAGGATCACTGAAGACTTGAGTTATAATGCTGAAAATTCAGCTTTGACAATGGAATAAATGACATTTTTAAAAATGCATACAAGATTATGTTTTTGCTGTATTTTCACCAAATAAATGCAGCCTTGGTGAGCATAAGAGACTTCTTATAAAAACATTAAGAAATTCAGACACCAACCTTTTTTAATGGTAGTGCATGTACCTTTTTTATATTGCATTAATTTAATTGATTTAAAAAAATAATAATAATTTATAAATAAAGATTTTCAAAAACCTCAATTATCACCAATAGAATTTTTAAATGAATAATATGAGGTCTTATGTCTATTACGAAACATGAGATAATGTATGAGCAAAATGTTACTTCACAAAAATGTCCATAGCATGATATTAACTAATGTTTTATTTAATTGCAGAAAGTAATTATTTTTTATACATTTTGTTGCCTTTTAAATTGGAAGTTGGATGGAAGTTCAATTGTTGAAATTGCATGATCAAAACTGTGAAATCCATCCAAATGCATCACTTTCTCATGGTTTACCGTCCCTTCATTGCATTTCACAGCGATAGAGAGTCAAAATACAACCACTTGGACGCAAACAGACTTTCTGTTCAGGCATGAGTATTTTCAGTCTCACTCTCACTAACCCACACTGTGAGATATCGTCACAGATTACTGTTATGCCGTAACCCACTCAAACAAGTCTGCTTTCAAAGATATCAGATATCATGAAAATATCGTCTTCGTTTTCAAGCTGCTGGGGTGTGCGTGTTTGTGTAGTTTACCCAAAAAATGAGTCAAATCTGAAACAGGAGGGGACTTTTGAGGTGTTCTAAATAATGGTGGCACTAAATAATACCAATTAAAGGAGCCACATAAGATAAGATTGTGGCCAAAACTGGTACTGCAATCACTTTCAAATTACTGTAGAGCGGTGTATCCCCTTCCCCCTGACTCGAGGTTGCCAGATAGGCTGCAGGATCCAACATTTTCTTTATCCGACACGTTTGTATCTGCTATTGATATTAATATTTGAAATGGACATTGATTTCTTAGTGTCTAGTGACATATTAGGGCCATTTTATGATTATTTGAAATACATTTTTTACATACAGCTCCTTTTAAAGTAAAAAAAAAGTAAAAAGTAAGCAATCAAACTTCAATACTCAAAATATTTTGCCTGGCAGACCAGAATATCGACTCTGGCATCAAATGTGTGTTTGTGTTTGGCATGCTCAGACTGGGAGGCCCGTATCGACAGTCACGGTCGTGTTTTCTACGTGGATCACATTAACCGGACCACCACATGGCAACGGCCCACGTCCGCAGCCACGCCGGATGGCCTGCGCAGGTCTGGTTCTGTCCAACAGATGGAGCAGCTCAACAGGAGGTAAACAGCACTGTTTATCAGCCGTTCCTCTGAGTAAACCAACATTTTACACTTCTTTTAAAAACAATCAGGAATACAGATAAGTTGGGTTGCATTTATGGTGCATCCTGTGATGTCCAAATATTTTAAATAAAATGGATAGTTTTGCACAGATCTGATTAAATGAGCCACTGTACTCTATTAATGCACCAACTTTACCCTGGCCTTGACAATAGTAAACACACTATTATTATTAAAAATGTATTTATTGCACATTGATGTATTTTATCATTACGCCGCTGTTGCAACAACTGATTTTCTGGTCTGGACAAGTTTATTTAATTGAGATACAAAATGTCATGAGAAAATGTTAAATGTTTTTGTTGTTCTGTCCCTCACAGCATCCTTTAACTGTTGTAAAATCACTGTATTGGTCAGCATCAAGTCGTATTCTTAGCACTTAAGGGATACTGTTACTGAAGTTAAAGGGCAAGTTTGGTATTTTACAATTAAAGGCCTGTTTTAAGATCATTTCTGATGAAATAGAATGGTTAAGATTGTTTTTTAGACAGATGCTGCTGTCCCGATAATTTTCAGATTCAGACCCCCACACCTCTATAATGGTAGCATAGGTTCACAGGAACAATCCTTTAGAAAACGCATAAAACTTTAGTTTACAAAGACGTGAAACTCACCGAGTGGTCTGGGGTGTTCACTGATATGCTCACACAAAAATCGCTACAAAAGATGCTTTCCAACAGGTTTTACCGTAGTTTTTGTACAACTCCATTGACTTGTATTGTATGTTCTGTGATGTACAGTATTACTCCGCCACCGGAAACGGAAATGGGGTTGTTTGTATTCTTTCTGTAGTCTTATGCAGTCGCGGTATCGTAGGCTACACTATACAAGTGGTTTGCTTGCGATCGGCAAAGGTGCATTATCGCCACCAACTGGGCTGGAGTGTCTATTATTCAAGCTCTCAACGGAAGAATGTTCGGTTGTGAGGCGTTCGGAAAAATAGGTCTACAGTTTTACAACGAATGGTAAAACACCTGTTGGAAAGCATCTTTTGCTGCGATTTTTGTGAGCATATCAGTGAACACCCCAGACCACTCTGAGTTTCACGTCTTTGTAAACTAAAGTTTTATGCGTTTTGTGAATCCGAAAATTCTTGGGACAGCAGCATCTGTCTAAAAAACTTAAAAATCTTAACCATTATATTTCATCAGAAACGATCTTAAAACAGGGCTTTAATTGTAAAATACCGAACTTTTCCTTTAAAAGAAATGGGCACATGACAGTATCTACAGCAGCTTCAGTACTAATTGCATAATTCAAAGGCAATGATTCATTTTCACACCTCTTGGCTCAAATGATGCTTTAACCACAGACTCTGTCTTGACCTTTTTTCTATAAAACAAGTAGGCTTTGTTCACATGGGCTTATAAACATGCACTCTTTTGCCACCTACAGGACAACAATGTAGGATGTTGGCAGAAGTGTGCTTGAGGTCATGTTTCCACAATGAATGTAATAGGGGATTATCACGCTGATACGTAGGACTTCCGGATTCAGTGATCTTTGTGCACTGCCACTTCCGTTGAATCACCGATCCCGCTGGCGAATAGGGTTGGGTATCGAGAATCGATTGGAACCGAGACTAACTTTTCGTTTTTCCCGGAATCGTTCAAAAGTTAAAATTTCAATTCCTAGTTTCGATATTCACAGTCCGCCGAGCGGAAGAAGAAACTGCTGAACAACACCAACGAAGAAGCGTCTACCGGAAGTGTTGACATAACCGCGCGAGTTGAACATTAGTAGCTTACGTCGGCGATCCAAAGTGTGGCTTCACTTTTCTAAAAATAACGAAATCTCGGCAAAATGCAAAATTTGTGACAAAAGGAGTATTTTTACAGGAGTATTTCCTTCAGAAAGGCCGTTGGTTAGCAAGGTTAGCTAAACTTTTTTGACCCTGCCTCTTAAAAGAATCGGAATCGAGATTCGTTAGGAACCGGAATCGAAACAAGGAATCGGAATCAGAATCGTTCAAATTCAAACGATACCCAACCCTACTGGCGAACTGATGACGGACTACACTAAGTTTATTTATACGGCATCCCTGGTAAATTAGTCTGATTCACTAAAGTGCCGGCTGCAAACAAACGTGCTACCTTGTTTTATTTTAAAGTTTTAATCCACTTCTTCCTTATACTCAATTCAGTCGGGAATCCATAACTTGAGTAGGGTTGGCGTTGTTGGTTATATTTAGAAAGTGGAACAGAGCAGTGACGTATATAGCCTTCGTCTCAGGCCCCGTCCACACTAGTGCGTTTTCGTTTAAAAACGGAGAACTTTTGCTACGTTTGCACCTCCCGTCCACACTAAAACGGGAAAAACGTAGACCTAAAACGTAGAAGTTTAGAAACGCTGCAGCTGCGTTTTGCGTTTTGAAACTCCGGAGGGCGTTTTAGTGTGGACGAGACAAAACAGAGGACTTCAGAAACGCTGACGCAGAGGCTCACGCTCGGCTCTATGATTGGGTGTTATCAGTCATGACGTTTCCTTCCCTGATTCGTCATTCACTGTTTACACCGGCACGCGCATTCCCAGTGTTGGTGAATGGTCACGTGATCCGCGTTTTCAGTCGTTTTAATGTGGACTGAGATCGTTTCTAATACGCAGATAAAACGCTGGTGTGGACGGAGATCGTATTCGTTTTAATTCTCCGTTTTTAAACGAAAACGCAGTAGTGTGGACGGGGCCTCAGGCATTGTTGAACTGCGTCGGAAGTGGACATGCACAAAGTTGACAAATCCCGCCCATTAAACCCGGAAGCGTGATAATCCCCTATTAAAGGCTGTTTATTTAAGAGACCTCAAGCAGTGGATGACAGATGTAGATTATCCTTAAAGCACACAAAGCTTTACTGTACCATTAGGGCTATGTAAATGAGGGTATACGGGTAGAAATAGTTGTAAATGATTTTAATGATGGGAGTGATATTTGTGACTATAACAATACTCTTGTACACTCGACCAGGTATCAGACCATCCAGAGGACGATGGCCACTGAAAGGAGAGACGAGGAGTCGGGCAGCCCCCGCAGCGAGAGAACAGCCAACACTGAAACCGACTCGCCTCCACAAACAACCGGTAACTTCATAAACATTCAAATCTATTCAATTCACATTTATTTGTTTAGCTCTTTTCACAATTAATATTTCACAATTAATAGAGTTGAGGAGAGACGCGCCATGTTCTCCGGGTCATTGTCAGAAGATCACTTTACTTCTGCAGAGTCCAGCAGTCAAATTCATCACTCACCCAGAGTTCTTCACTGTGCTTCACGCTAATTATGTGAGTTGCTTCCACAATGCACATTTATTTATTTTTTAAAACATTAATTTTCTATCTATACACCACCGTTTGGTAAAGTTAAAGTTTGGGGTCAGTACGTGTTTTTGTTTTATTTTTTGTATGAAATAATACATTCATTCATCAAAGATGCATTAAATTGATGGAAAGTAAAGACATTTATAGTGTTACGAAAGATTTCTGTTTCAATAAGTGCTGATCTTTTGAACTTTCTATTCATCAATCAATCCTGAAATCATGTTTTCCACAAAACTGTTACACAAAAAATGTTTCTTGAGCACCAAATCAGCATATTAGAATGATTTCTGAAAATTCAGCTTTTCCATAACAGGAATAAATTACATTTTAAAATATATTAAGATTGAAAACAGTCATTTTAAATGGTAATAATATTTCACAACATCACTGTTTTAACTGGATTTTTGATCAAATAAATGCAGTCATGGTGAACAAGAGAGATTCTTTGAAAATCTTACAGACACCAAACTTTTGAATGGTAGTGTGTGCTGTAATTTATGCCAATGTTATGTTAACTTCCTCTTTTTGTTATATAGGGAGCGTATCGTATGTTCACCAACAGCTCGTGTCTGAAACACATGGTTCTGAAGATCAGGCGGGATGCTCGAAACTTTGAACGCTACCAGCACAATCGTGACCTGGTGACCTTCTTGAATAGGTTTGCTGATGCTCAGCTGGAGCTGCCGCGTGGCTGGGAGATCAAAACAGACCCACAGGGGAAGGTACATCTTAGCACGCAGTTCTTAAAGGGATAGTTCACTTTGAAATTCATTTTTGGTATGTTTTAGCTTACCTCAAGGGCATCCAAAATGTAGGTGTCTTTGTTTCAATTTTGATTTTTTTTAGGTCAAACCGTTCTTGTCTATCAGTCATATAATGGAGGTCTATGGTCACCACCTCAAAGAGCATGCACAGAGAAGTCCAAATTAAACATGATTTAATGACTCGTAAATGTAAGTAAACATTGATGGCCTAAGATACGAAACAAGCGGTTTGTGTGAGAAAACAAACAGTATTTATATTTATATTTATATATTAGGTTTTTACCTCTTGTAACCACAGCCACGTCCAAGTGATCCGAGGGCGTGAGCGCTTCGGTCTGCGCAAGCGCCGGAAGTGATCTCTCGCACGTGTACGTCACTCAATGATTTTGGAAGTGTTACCTTTCAATTTGAAAATCTAAACATATTTAGATATACAGGAAATCGCAATGGAAGACGTTTGGATATAACAACAGACAATGTTTATTTTTTTGACGTGGCTGTGGTTACAAGAGGTAAAAACGATATAAATACTGTTCGTTTTCTCACTCAAACCACTCGTTTCGTGTCTTAGGCCATCAATGCGTACTTACATTTACGAGTCATTAAATCATGTCTAATTTGGACTTCTCTGTGCATGCTCTTTGAGGTGGTGACCATAGACCTCCATTATATGACTGACAGACAAGAACGGTTTGACCTAAAAATATCAAAATTGAAACTACTGCGGAAACAACGACACCTACATCTTGGATGCCCTTGAGGTAAGCTAAAACATACCAAAAATTAATTTCAAAGTGAACTATCCCTTTAACAGGGATAGTTCGCAGCAGTGCCATTATTTCAACTGTTCGTCCTCCACTTTTCTCTGCAGTCGTTCTTTGTAGACCACAACAGTCGTGCCACAACCTTCATTGATCCCAGGATCCCCTTGCAAAACGGCAGATTGCCCAACCACCTGACGCATCGCCAGCACCTGCAGAGATTACGCAGCTACAGCGCAGGAGAGGTCAGACACACTCACAATCAAGAGGAAATTACTGTTACGTAACATTACAATGTTTATTAGTTCATTTATTCGCTTCCACATTGATTTCCAGGCATCAGAGGTGTCGCGCACCCGAGGGGTGTCTTTGTTAGCCAGGCCTGGAAACAGTCTGGTAGCAGCTATACGAAGCCAGCAGGAGCCAGTACCAATGGGTAAATTACACTTAGGGTTTCTTTCTGTACTGGTTTAAAAAAAACTATATTTATAAAACAGTTAGTTCCAATCCTTGATTCTGATTGGTCAATAGCTGTGCTTTATTCATGATAAAAGATGGCTATGACCACTTCACCCAGCGTTGTTGCTGTTCACTGTCAGGGACTATATTTTTTCTAGCGGAAGGACGGCTTTTAGTGATTTTACTTCATGAAAGTTGTACTAATACATATTTTTTTTAACTTTAACATTTGTTTATTGTGTGGTAACCATTTTATAAAAGCAACAAGGTACACGAGTGCTGTATTGTGAAATAAGTAACGGCTGAAAGGGTTACTCCGCTTCACGTCGTGCCTAACAACGCCCTCAGCCGTTACTTATTCACGATACAGCACAACCTCTCGTATTGCTTACTAGGGTGACCACCCGTCCCGCATTGCGTTGTACTGCACAGCATTTTCACCTCTTGTCCCGCACGTCGCATATTGAGGAAATGTCCCGCATTTTCATCAGTCTATTAGTTTTTAATATCATATTAAGAAAACATGCATGCGTTCTTTTGCCTTTTTAAGAAAGCATTCTACTTATTACTTTTGCTGCGTAGTTTGCAGCGCTTCGTCATAACAAGTACAAATACAACAGCTGCGTTTTAGCTATACACTATCCAATGGTTGAAAAGAAAGGAGTAAACACGGTCACTCGTTGGTTGTGACGGCTGTCAATCAAAATGTGGACCGGTGATTCGTTCCATATATGTTCCCTGTCGGAAAACAAATGGATAATTAGGTCAATTAAAATTTTAATTTAACAGAATTTATCTGTTGTTGTTTAACCTGCAGTGGTTGTTTTAATTCACATCCTATCTAAAAATATGAATGGTTTTGGTTTTTAATATATTCTTAATATATAAGACTGTCTATCTAATTTCATGTTGTTTTATATTTTATTTGTTAATTGTTTATTTTGTTGGATTTTTGTTGGACTTGGTCAGAACTGTTTGTAAAATATTTATATACATGATTCCTGCTGCCTTTGGGCTCAGTTATGCTGAATTTAAAAGACTTTTTTTTTTTTTTTTTGGAAAAAAATATTTTTTTTCTGGAAGGGACTAAAGAACAAATCATTTTTATCAGCTGAAAGGCAGAATATAAATGTTTTTATCAAGTTAGATAGACATTATATAACAGTTTCAGGGTATGTTTTAGTGTTGGTAACATGTCTCGCATTGTCCCACACAAACTTATAATTGTCCCACATTTGGTTTGTTTGATGGTGGTCACCCTATTGCTTACGTATACACTCCCATTTAAAAGTTTGGGGTCAGTAAGATTTTTTTTTCCAGCAAAGCCACCATTTTTCCACCATTTTAAATTGATCAAAAATGACAGTAAAAAAAAATTTATCACAGTTTTTTACAAAATATAAATATAATTCACAATGATTAAAGTAAGAAATGTTTTCCTTCTGTGTCCCAGCCTACAATGATAAGATTGTAGCATTTTTACGCCAACCAAACATCTTCGAGGTGCTACAGGAGCGACAACCGAGTCTGGCGAGGAATCACTCACTCAAGTATGACCCTCCACCTTTCTCTGTTATTGTAGTGAAATGCATCATCAGCACTTCCAAGCAGTTCTCAGTTGTTCGGGTGTGTTTATGTCTAAAGGGAAAAGGTGCTCCACATCCGAACCGAAGGCACACAGAGACTGGAGAAGCTGTCGTGTGATGCTGACCTGGTAATGCTGTTAAGGTAAATCACCCAACTGGCCACATGAAAACAAATGTACCTGTATAAGAATGCAAAGGTGTGCATTTGTAATTTATAAACCGTCTCGCGTGCTTTCTTCAGAATGTGTTTTGATTTGCTTTTCAGTTTGTTTGAGGAGGAAATCATGTCTTACGTTCCTCTCGCTTCATTTCACCCCGGGTTCAACTTCTCTCCGCGCTGCTCCCCCGGTTCTTCTCCGCAGAACTCTCCAGGTGAGTAACCATAGGCCTCAGATGGTCTGAAAATGACATTATATTATTTAGAAGACAACTTGATTTGATAATTCCCAATTCAGGCCTCATTTGTATCTCCTGCCCAACTTTTCAAGACACATTAGCCCGTATACATCAGTGTTTAGCACTGGGATAGGATCTGAGATGGATATTAAAACCAGTTATTACAGAGCTCTCTGAAATGCTTGATTCTGATTGGCCGGTTGTGACATTCCGAGGTCAGTCGATAATGACTGTTGCCAATAGCGAAGCTGTAGGATGGCGGCTCATCTGGGTATTTGAGACCGGCGCTTCCTTCGCTCATCATACCGTAGATTGACGCTGATGCAATTATTAACTCTCACTGTAAAAAAATATTTTCAAGATTTGTTTTTACAACATATTTTCTTTCGTCAAATCAACTTTATAATAATTTATTTGTTTGAGATAACTTATTATTTTGAGTTTCTGATGATTAAATTAATCTCCTTCAATGTATTAACTCACTTTTTCCAGTTCAATCAACTTAAAATTTTAAGGCAACCCAGGTTACTTACTTTTTTAAGTTAAACCATCAATATTTTTTACAGTGTTTTTACTGTCAAATGAAACCAGTTGACTTTAATTTTAGTCATAGCCCTATGGTAATATTGTTGAATTGTTTGTCTTGATGCGCAAATTATTATTATTTTGTACACTTTAAAATCTTACCTGTTTGTTATATTATAATCCATATTTATAATATATTCCATAATCCAATATTTCCATGTCCTAGTCATTATATATTTACATTACATTTACATTTAGTCATTTAGCAGACCCTTTTATCCAAAGCGACTTACATCTGAGGACTAAATCAAATGAGTCAAACGATATATGCGACAAACCGCTTTTCTCCACAAAAGATTAGTAGCACTACTATAGATTATCACTTAAATGTCCATCTTGTTTGAACTTTTTTGTTTATCTAGGCTCAAAGCTGATTGCTAGGAACTGTTTTTGTTCACGGAAGCTTTGCGTTTAATGAGCTTATAAAATATTTAAACTCAAATCAATATTCCTAGTCTAATTATTCACTGTGGCAAGTCGCCGTGGAATAAGCAGGATTATGTTCATTCAACCGGTGGTTATTGCAGAATAAACCCGACCAGGTGATCAGGACCCTGACACGAAGGGGACTTGCTTAAACCACTTCAGGCTGATATCAAAAGGCTTGATGTACATGATCTCTTACTTAAAGTGATTTATTTTCATAAAGATCCTTTGACTGACTTTTGACCTAAATTTACTTCACTATATTACTATTAAATCCTAATCTAGTCATGAAAAACTACATATCGTTGGAAAGGTCTAAGACTGCTAAATAGATATTTGACTGCTGTTTTTTTGCTACAAATTATGTAAGAAGAGTAACCGATGATTTTTTTCTTTTTTTGACAAGAGTGCGCCTCAAAAAAATCTGCACCTTAACAGGAGTTCTGACCTTTGTCACAAAAAGTTGATGCACACACCTATAAAATCGAAACTTTGGGTTTTCATGCTAAAAGTTCATAATAAAACATAAAATCTAGTATTTTTCAATAAAAAATTATAATATAATATTATCCTCTAAAAATTATAATATATATTATCCTCTAAAATAAAATATTATTTATTTTATCGCCTACTATTTTAGTAGTCATCATAAATATGGTATTTGAAAGCTTACAAACTCAGAATTCATCCTGTGAAAATCGTTTTATAATTGAACATTGTGCACTCTAAATTATTTTATTAGACTCCTCCCCTTTTGGGCATCATTATATTTCATAATTTATGATCAAAACCAAAATCCAAATTTTGTGACAGAATTGATATTTGGAGAGAAATGTATTAATTTGTTAGAGCAGATAAAACTAAATTCAATGGAATTCAATGGCACCCGGTGGCTATTTTTGGTACTACGCCTAAACAAAATCTCTCCTAAACGAAAACTTCAAGTTTTGTGATATCAACTTTTATTTATGGCTTTGATTTTATAGTAATTTTAGAGTAAAAAATATTTTGTAAAATATATATTTTATATAAAATACAGTATATAGTGAAGTATATTTGATTTACTGTAAATTTAAACTTTTTCATACTTTCATTTTTTGAAGTGTTTTCACTTTCACTGAGTTTTTTTCTTTTAAACAAGGCCAAATTTGGGTATATTTACCAAAGCATTCTTGAATTACAACCATTTAAGTTTGAATAGTGCATTTTAACCCCCATTCATTTGAGAATGGGGGTTAAAATGCAACAGCTGAAGGGTTAAGTTTGCAAGGAAAGTGATCGATTATTCACACGCACTCTGATTTACTCTGATAAAGGCTTCCTTGAGCGAACTCCTCTCGTTCCAGTCTGCTGTCTGTCTGGTGAGGGCTCTCCAGGTCAGCCGCTCTCAAGCCTTCAATACTGTCCCCACCCAGCTGCCCCTCTCTGTGTCATGATGGACATTTTACAGACCCTAAGCCTGTTTTGTGTGAATATTCAAACCTTTATCCACGGCTTTTCCTTATTCTGCCCATGAAGTGGTCTTGTTTTGTATACTTTAATTTTGTAAAACCTGACCGTTGTGCATGTTTGGACACTCCGGACAAAAAAAAAATGATCAAGGATAAACCATTATCAAAGATCCTTGTCCTGTAATATGTCTTTTACGTAACGCAGGAACAATCATCTCACCCACGTGTGTGCTAATTCTCGAGGTGTTGTTTTATGGCCTTGACAGTCATTCCCTGATGATTGATAATTGAAGTAAGCTGGAGTTGACATCTGTGGTGATGGTTTGGTCTTTTCTTCAGGGACCCAGAGGGCTCGGGCACCGGCGCCCTACCGCAGAGACTTTGAAGCCAAACTGCGCAACTTCTACAGGAAGCTTGAGGCGAAGGGCTACGGGCAAGGACCTGGGAAGATCAAGTGCGTTAACGCTGATGATTTACTGTATATACAGTGCCGTTCAATGGTTTTGGGTAGGGCTGGGCGATATGGCCAAAAAATCATATCTCGATATTTTTTGGTCAAATGGCGATATGCGATATATATCTCGGTACTTTCTACGTTTTCTATTTAGATAAAGAAAATCTTTATATTAAAAAATATATATATATATATATATATATATATATATATACAGTATATTCACATTCGGCCCAATGATATCCTACAAACAATGTTGATATTGAAGGATATGGAAACAAATATAATATAGGCTATGCAATATATTATGTGCAAAAAGCTTTTGTTTTTATATTGACTAAAAGCTAAACTAAAAATGAAAATAAAAACAAAAACAAAAGCACAAACTAATTATATTAGCCTGCATTTGATTACCCCATTATAATCACTTTCACTTTCATTAAAAATATATACTTGTAGGTTTAAAATTCCACATATGGCACATTTATTTTCTCCAACAACAAATATTTTAGCAATATGTTTATTTTAGTCAGAATTATTGCGTACTACGTAGTACTATTCACGCGCATGCGCGCGCCGGCGCTCGTTCAAGGAAGCATGAATTTTAGCGGAGATTCACTTGCAGAAGCTCGTCCTCTTCTGACATGGACATATTTGTTGTGAAATGGACATATTTGCTTTACTTTCTAACATTTACAGATGGAGAATATGTGAAATGTAAGTTGAGCACTGAGGAAAGCACCACATCTCAAACGCATTAAACAGCGCAAGTATATCTGTCAGTCAGCAACAGTGTCTGTCAGAGCATTTGACAGGGCGGCAAGCTGCCTTATAAACTTGTTAACTATATCAAAGTGATTTTGACGCAATTAATATAAGCTTGTGTCATGTTTAGGACAAATTGTAGGCTACTACGTAGCCTAGCTACTTTCACTGCAGCAGCTCACACTGCAACCTCCGCTATTTTTCAGATGTGCTCATATCAAACTACTGTATCGATATAAACGGTATTGCCTCATTCCATATCGTTTCAAAAAATATAACGATACATCGTACATATTCGATATATCGCCCAGCCCTAGTTTTGGGTCTGCGAGAATTGTTTATTGTTTTGTAGTCTCTTATGCTCACCAAGGCTGCATTTATTTACAGTACAGTAATATTGTGAAATATTATTACAATTGAAAACATACCGCTATTTGGTTACACTTTATTTCGATAGTCACTTTAGACGTTCTACTAATTATAAGTAACTTTTCATCTACATGTCAAGAAACTCACATTAGAGTATTAGTATATTATAGTAGACTGGTAGGTCATGGTTAGGTGTTAGGGTTCGGGTTAGGAGAATAAGTTGACTTGTAGTCGCCATAGTCAGTTGAATGTCTGTTGGGGGACCAACAAAATAAAGTGTTGGCAGATATTAAGCTGACAGTCTACTAATACTCTAATGACAGTTAGTTGACATGTAGTTGAAAAGTTACTTATAGTTAGTAGAATGTCTAAAGTGGACTATCGAAATAAAGTGTTACCCAAATATGCTGCTTATAATATTTAAATTAAGATTAGGGCTGTGCAAAAGTTAATTGCAATTAATCGCATCCAAAATAAAAGTCTGTGTTTACATAATATATTTGTGTGTGCTGTATATAATTATTTTGTATATATAAATACACACACATGCATGTATATATTTAAGAAAATGTGTTATTCCTATATAAAATATTTATATTTATATAATATAGATTATGTATTTATATATATATATATATACAGAATTTAAGTGCAAATAATTCTTAAATATATACATGCATGCATAGGTATTTATATATACAAAATAATTATATACAGCACACTCAAATATATTATGTAAAACAGACTTTTATTTTGGATGCGATTAATCGCAATTAACTTTTGCACAGCCCTAATTAAGATCAAGTGTTGGCCATTAAAGTAATGTCAGCAAGGTAAACGTCCTACATTTCTCACTTCATCTTATTTTTTTAGACTGATTGTCAGAAGAGATCATCTTTTAGAAGGAACGTTTAACCAGGTCATGGCCTACTCCCGTAAAGAGCTCCAGAGAAACAAGCTCTACATCACCTTTGTCGGAGAAGAAGGGTGAGGCTCGCAAATAGATCGTGTTTAAGCAAAAGTCATATGTCATAAGTTATATCTGAATTCTGCTCTTCTTTCCAGACTGGACTACAGCGGACCATCTCGAGAGTTTTTCTTCCTGCTGTCTCAAGAGCTGTTTAACCCTTACTATGGCCTGTTTGAGTACTCCGCTAACGACACGTACACTGTCCAAATCAGCCCCATGTCTGCTTTTGTGGAAAACCATTTGGAATGGTAAGGTTATTTCCACACACAATTTCTGTGTGGTATGAGAAATCATACTGAATAGCCATTGACAGATAAATATATAGTGATGTCATTGGCTGCTCTCACAGACTGCTGTTGTTGGTTGAATGTCTGTTTTTGAGCTTCTTGATGTGACGTGTGTTTGCAGGTTCCGTTTCAGTGGTCGAATTCTCGGCTTGGCATTGATTCATCAGTATTTGTTGGACGCTTTCTTCACCCGCCCATTTTATAAAGCGCTTCTCAGACTGTGAGTGGACAATCAAGCATAAACATGTAGAGTTTGAAGATGACAAAAAATATAATTTATATAATTTAATATAACTTATATTTTTCAAATTGATTTGTGAATTTTCATCAGGCGTTACTCCAGCCTTCAGTGTCACATGATCCTTCAGAAATCATTCTAATAAGCTGATTTGCTGATTAAGAAACATTTCTTATTTTTATCAATAATAGATTTTTAAAACATGATTGATTTTTTTCAGGATTCTTTGATGAATAGAAAGCTCAAAAGAACAGCATTTAATTGAGAGGAATCTCGAGTGACATAATCAATCTCTTTACTGTCACTTTTAAACAATTGATGCATCCTTGCTGAAGAAAATTATTAATTTCTTTCAAAAACAACAACATCTCACTGACTCTAAATGTTAAAATGTAGTTTATACTTGCTTCCAAATTTGTAGCTGACAGAATTTGTGTCAGCCAATAGGAAGCAGATATCTAAATTTATTTAATTTAGGGTTAATATGGTAAATTCGCCTGTTTTTTTGACAGAAATCTCAAAAAATATCCTTAATTCACTCCAATGCAATTTAACAATAAATACATTAGAAATCAAAATTAAAACAGCTTAAATTTATTTTTATATACCCATATTTAAAATTCGCTAAAAATATATTTGAAAAACAAATGGGACCAACATAATGGAAATTAATGCATCTGTTAATTTCAAAGATCAGTATATCGGTCTAGGCGTGCAATTATCAGCATATCTTATCCTCTAATGTCTGAACTGTAAAAAGCACTTTGCATCACTGTCACCCCTGTTTGCAGATCCACAGATCTCAGTGATCTGGAGTATCTGGATGAGGAGTTCCACCAGAGCTTACAGTGGATGAAGGAAAATGACATCACAGATGTGCTGGATCTTACCTTCACTGTCAATGAGGAAGTGTTCGGCCAGGTGGGAGAAACACTGATCAACATCATGAAAATGCTTTCTCAATTCTATATGTGTGCATTGTAAAAAAAAATCCTTTTTCATGATACTGAATTTTAAAGATAAATTTGCAAAATCCAAATAAGCTTTACTGATTTTTATTGGAGAGAAAACAATGTTTTTCATGCATTTTTGCACATTTCATTTTTATTTCATTTTATTTTTATTTAATAGGGACAATGCATGTTAATGAACATAAGTACAAAGTACAAAGTAAACAAGCCGGATTATAGCAATATTGCTAATTTACGTCCGTAGTCCCAAGGCAGGTACACGCAACAACAGACACTCAGTACAAGACGCCACTAAAACACAATGCATAAAAAAACACATCATAATAAATTACTAAAAGGAGTGATAAGACTAACATGCAAACTAACAGTTAACTGGCGAAAGAAAATGAATGTCACAGTTCCAATAACTGAACAGAGAGAGACCTTTCTACTGACTCTACTGAAAAAGATTCCCAGGGTCTCTGATCACCTGCGTGAACATTTACACGTAATCATTTGCTTGGAAAAAAGTCTTTTTTTTCCGAGTATATAAATATATTGCACCAAATTAACATGTTAAATCTAATATAAAATCGAATATATATATATTAGGGCTGTTGATTTAACACATTAATTAATGCTTTTAACGCACCCCAACCCAGGCGTGTACGTCATCTTACATTGCATGCAGTTTAGTCACGAACATGATGGAGGGCAACGACTGACTGTGTGATGAAGCCTGTTAGAATACAGATTCAAGAAACAGATTTTGTTGTCCCTATCTTTAAAAATTCAGGGAATAATATTTTTCCTAAAATGTTGTGTGTGTGTGTGTTAGGTAACAGAACGGGAGTTGAAGTCCGGCGGGACAAACATGCAGGTGACCGAGAAAAACAAGAAGGAATATATTGATCGGATGGTGAAGTGGAGAGTGGAGCGAGGCGTCGTCCAGCAGACTCAGGCTCTGGTCCGAGGCTTTTACGAGGTAAGCATGCTTGTCATCTGATTTACTCTCTGTCTGTCTGTGTGACCACCATTTAACCTTTAACCTATGTGGGTGGTGTGTAGGTGGTGGACTCTCGTCTGGTTTCTGTGTTCGACGCCAGAGAACTGGAGCTGGTTATTGCAGGAACAGCAGAAATTGATTTAAACGACTGGAGAAACAACACGGAGTACAGAGGAGGTCAGAACACACACTTACTCCTATATAGACACAAATACACAACACAAATGCAGTCGGAAATCTTCATATTAGGGCTGTGCCAGTCGAATCCATACGTGTTGAAAGATGACAATATTTATATTTAATAAATAAACCCACATATATTATATTATTAATTATCAATATTTATCTGATTCTTTTTCTCACTATATTGTATTGTCACTTCAAGACCTTGTATTCCATTATGCATTCTATGTGTTCATTAATATAATTTTCCTACCTGCTTGATTAAAGAGGTGGTTTATGTTTGAAAAAAGTGAAATGTAAAATTGTGGTTGTGTATATTCATCATCAGGTTATCATGATGGGCACATCGTCATCCGGTGGTTCTGGGGAGCGGTGGAGCGCTTCAATAATGAACAGAGACTGCGTCTGCTGCAGTTTGTGACGGGCACCTCCAGCGTGCCGTACGAGGGCTTTACCGCCCTGCGCGGGAGCAACGGCCTACGACGCTTCTGCATCGAGAAATGGGGCAAGATCACATCGCTCCCGAGGTATAGTGACACACCTTTTCATCTTACAAATCTTACTTTGACTTGAGCTGGAATGCGAAAGGTTTCAAATGAATTAAAAAAATGCAAATATCAATAAAGAAATAATAAAAGGTGCTAGGTTTACTAAAAATCTTTAGCTGACAACTGTAAGCATTCGATTGATCTATAAACGTTTTTTCTGCAATGTTAAAGTCAACATATTACAGCATTTAAACACCAGTTTACTTCCATTGTATTTGACGTAAGACATGGATCATTATCAAAATTATACACTTGTCCTTTGTCTTTTCAGTCAGAAAAGAAACTTAAACTAGTCTAGAAATTCTGTGTTAAAGTGTAAAACAAAATTTTAATATGAAAGGGTTTGACTGACAAATTAAAAACAAAAATATGAATTTAAGTGCCTTCTGTTAATACAAAATATAAATATTAGTTGAAAGTCACTGAACAATCATTTTAAGTTCTATTATTAAATAATGTTCATTTCAAATTATTAGAATTATTGCTTTGGTAATAAAATGAAATAAGTTTAAATAAGTTAAAGCACTAAATTACTGAGAAAAAAAAAACACTCAAATAAAACTAAATTAAACATAAATGACAAAAAAAATTAAACTACGAAAACTATGAAAACTACAAATATAAAAATAATACAAATTCAACATATTGAGAAAACTAGAATAAAAATATCAGTAATATAAATAATTGAGAATAAAGAAATGTATTTAATCATATAATTTAAAATTAACATTAATTAATAATAAAAAATAATTCAGGGCTGTCACACGATTAATTGCGATTAATTGCATCCAAAATAAAAGTTTGTGTTTACATAATATATGTGGGTGCACTGTGTATAATTATTTTATATATATAAATACACACACACATGCTTTTATATATTTCAGAAATATTTTCATTGTATATACTGTATATAGATTTATATATAATTGATATTATATTTATATTTAATATTTTATATATAAATAATATTTTTTTCTTAAATATACATGCATGTGTGTGTGTGTGTGTGTGTATTTATATATATATATATACAAAATAATTATACACAGTGCACCCATATATATATTTTGTAAACACAAACTTTTATTTTGGATGCGATTAATCGCGATTAATCGTTTGACAGCCCTAAAATAATTACAAATTATCATTAACAGTATAGTTTAAAATCACCATTAACTAATAATATAATAATAAATCATTTAGAATTAACACTTAAAAGCATAATTAGAAATGAAGTGTATTTAAAAATATTAAGAATTTATTTTTCATTGGTGTCATCAATGTTAAAAGCATGACCGGACCTAAACAGATTGGCCACGATTCTAGAAACTGATGACCAATCATGAGGTCAGAAACGTGTTTTCAGCCAGGCTGATGGATGTCATGTCTGGTTCCTCAGGGCACACACATGCTTTAATCGTCTGGATCTTCCGCCGTATCCGTCCTACACGATGTTGTACGAGAAACTGCTGATCGCTGTGGAAGAAACCAGCACTTTTGGCCTTGAGTGAGGACTTCACGTGACTTTCCCGTGTACACTGTATTTACTTCTCTACTAGCGTGGATCGTATCCTGTGTTCGTTTCTTCGGTTTGTTCAGGACACCACTGCATGCATCAGTCACCTGCGCGGGTGGACAGTGTGTAACGGGTATGCAATAGTGAAAGAGAAGCCTTCAACCTGCTTTAACACTCAGGGCCTCGACCTCCGCTGGAGTCGCTCTCAGTTCGCACATCATCATTTCGCCATAAACCGTCGCTTTCTTTTGGTGCGTTTTGACAAGAATTGTAAAGTTAAAACCAAATACACTCACAGAAAACATCTGATCGAGGTGCCGTGATTACTGTAAATGTGTGCACTAGTGATGAATCTCACCCAACACGTCATCATCACAGGAAGTGACATCACGTCATGTCACTTTGCAGGAGTCAAAGACAGACTAGGGGGAAATGGCAAGTCTAAACCTTGATTTGACACTTTTAAAGTATTCGTTTATCAATCAACGCATTTTAATGTTAAAATGTTTAAAGCGTCAACAATGTTCAGGGCTTCATGCTGTTTTATGTTTTGTCTGTAAAATGTTTAGTGTTGACACATGATTGCTTTCAATTAATGAATGTTTTTGGGTATGTTTAAAAAAAAAAATTCCCCAACATAGCATTTTTTCTTTAAGGTCATCACTGAAAGTGAACATGCTAAACAACAAATCCAGTTTGAATATGTTAATTATACAGCTGTGTAGAGTGAGATTTTGAACCAATGAGATTGTTCTGTGGGCGGAGTTACCCCGCAGATCAAAGCAAACAAAAGGGACTGACAAAATGTCTGGTCAGTTGTGGCAGTTGCGTTTGGTTAAGACACTGTGCAAAGGGGCATTCATGGTGACAGTAGCGATTTGGACGTGTACTTTATGTAAATGAGCACTGCCAATAGGAGTGAAGACATCTCAGTAAAAGGCCTTTAGTGAATGATTCATTATGCACTGCTGCAGCTTATATAGAAATTTCCGTTTAGCATGTTCATTTTTACTGGCAAAAAATGCATTAGTTGTCAAAATGGAACGATTCTTTGTTTTATTTATTGTGTGGTTGTGTGTTTATCATGATTACCGTTTATCATGATTATCGTGGGGTCCCATTGGCTGTTCATCGTGGCTCATTTGCATATGATTAAATCTCCAAAAATGTACTTGGATTTTCCTGATGCCATGATATGCACTCATTTTCTCCAATGTTTATAAAATGTATAATCTATTTATATATGGTGTCTTTTTATGACTTAAAGTGGTAAAGAGATTGTAAGAAATGTGTGCGCTACACTTCATGTTCACTTGAGTGTTTCAGCTGTTTAAGGTGAAGATAAGTGAGAAATTCTGAAAGTGGGCTAATATATTTATTAAAAAAGAAAATTGGTTTAAATGTCAGAAAACATTTCTTTGAAAGGTCAGATTGGTTCGTTCTGTGGGTTGGTTTGTTGACGACTAGATTCCTGTGCTGAAGTTTTGATTATTGTTCATGTTTACATTTTAAAATGACGTGAATGTGTGTTTTATACATTAAGATCGTCATAAATCGTCATGCCATTTAAAGGTGCATGTGTTTGTGTATAATCCACACTTGATGAGTCAGTCTTTTAATTTTATATCCTAATATTTTCATAAAGGGATTGTTCACCCAAAAAATATGCATTGTTTGAATATGCAGAATATTCGATCGCAACAATCGTTAATTTCCTTTATTAACAGAATAACATGATGGTGATGATTTTTTTTTTTCTTCAATTGTTTAATTTTGGTTGTACTGTCCCTTTAATGTGGTGATGGAGAAGTAAAGCAATCCGGCTTTGATAGTCTCTGAAATATAATTCTATCTAATATCAATTGCAGCTCAAATGAACAACGCAGCTTAAGATGTTAGGAATGTAGAGAAAGTGCATTTGTATTATTTATCCCAATCAAGAAATTATAAAATATCTGTATATCAAATGTGTACATATTTGCTTGAACAGTCTATGTAAAATCAAAATTTTAAAACGTGATGAATCAATTCAACAGCCAACAGTTCATCTTTTTTAAAAAAAAAAAAAAAACATGTCTTCGTACTTACTATTGACATAATGTTAGTTCAAAATGTTTTTCTTATATGTATATTAGTACTATGCATATTTGTTTGCAATTATAAGAAATGCTACTGTTTTGGCGGTTGTGAAGGACGTTTCTTCATTTATCAAGACTCTCGCAGCCCTGAAATGAAAACGTGAGAGAAATAAGGAGAAGGTTCTGGAACAAACTGCCTTTCTCTGTAAACATGTCATTCTGGGAAATGCAGAAAGAGTTGGCTCCTGCTTCCACCTCGGACACATACGCTAGTCTGCTTATGTATTTTTACACTTTTAATCTATCTGTATGGAAGAGAATAAGAGCGGAAATGTACAAATGTTAATTTGAATTGTGTGTTGAGGTCAATTATAGCGCCTCTCTCAGGCTGAGATCTGTAACTACAGCATTACACTGTTAACGAATGTCAATAAACAATCACTTTCTATCTGAATCTGACTGTCGTTCCTGTGAATAATAATCCATCATGGTCAGAAATATCGCTCACTCTGGGAAAATGTACTATTTCTTTTTAAAATAAGATATTTTAAATTATATTTTGTGGAAGGATGTGCTATTCCATAAATAGGCCTACTCATCGTAAGACTGATGGATTTTACTAAATACAGGAAAAAATACAAAGCACATATGACCAATAATGTATTATTATAGAAAGCACAGCAATTATTTGTATAATAATAACGATGATAACATAAATAATACTCTTTGACTGTTGATTGACCAATCAGAATCAAGTACATATTTTAATCTGAGACTTCAAACATGTGCCTTGAATTATGTCTTAGGCATTTAATTTAAACAGGGTTTAGCTATTTATAGGAGGCATTTCACTGGAAAATATTGCACGTTGAAGATGAAAAAAAATAAGTTATTAAGATGAATGTGTTTATAGGTGTTTTCCTCGCCCCTAAATGTATCTGGTGTCTTCACAGTCTCTCTTCTCATACAATTGTTTTAGCTCTGTAATATTCAAGAGAATCTCAAGCCAGGAGAAATGTGCCAAAGCCAGACTGTTACTGTGAACATAATCTGCAAAAATAAATCAATAACAAAATATAGCCTAAAAACTTAATAACATTTAATGAAGGATTTATAAATTTAATTAGCTAAAACACTGTGATGTAATTTAAATATATTGCAAAATCCGATCAGAACAGATTGGAGGAAGTATTCATATGGATGTTTTGGCAGATGAACGCGAGGACAGATGGTCGCCAGAGCTCTGTGGAATATGAGGATATTTCTGGAGCAGGAACAGGGTGGTTTGGGGGGATAACACTGGGATTTTTGAAGGGATTGAAAGAAGAAGGAAAGTTTGAGACATGAAGCCTCAACTCGGTCTGGAACGAGATTTAGTCAGATTCAGAACAGATTTAGAGAACTGAAGAAGACTTGAACAAATCAGTAGTGAACTGCTTACCACATCGTACTTTGTATACTGTTTCCTTTGATCTTTATTATTATTCATGTAGTATGTGTAGTAAGTACGGTAACCCATTCTGGGAATTTCTCCGAAAACATTTAACCCATTCAAGTTAGTGCACACAGGAGCAGTGAGTAGTGAACACACACACCATTTTACCATTTTGCTGCGGCACCCGGGGAGTAATTGGGGTTTAGGAGCCTTGCTCGATGGCACCTCTTTCATTTCTTGCCAGTATTGAAAACCAAACCCACAACTTTTGGGTTACTAGTCTGAATCTCTAACCTTTAGGCCATGACTGGCCCCTAAGTGTATCACCCGGATATTTAAAGTGCACAAAAAAACGGCATAGAATAGTGCATAAGCACGCCAATTGGGATGCATCTACAGTTTGTTCTAGTTGTATGCTGTACATTTTGGCAATTTTGATAGTTCATGTGGGTATTGTGTACAGTATACATAGATTACATACACTCTTTAAAAAAAAAGAAGAGGTTTCATTGGGTTCTATATAGAACCCTAGGGTTCCTGATCAAATTTTATTGAACCCTTTATGCCAAAAAAGGTTCTTTTAAAATGTTTTAAGAGGTTTTTTTAGTGATTATAGGAATATATGTTAATTTCTGTAATTTTTTGTTCTGTTACAGTTAGTATAATTGTAGAATTAAAATTGTAGAATTATATTAAAAACAGATGATTGAAATAAATTATAAAATCTAAAGACTCCAACATTTGGAGTCTTGCTCGTTTGATTCTAAGCATAATGTAACATTATTGAAAAGCTTTTGTCAGTACAAAAAACAAACAAACTGCTAAACATTGACAAAAAGGTTTTTTTGTGTGTTATAATTGTGATTTTATAATCACAAGAAAAGAAAAAGAAATCTGGGTCTTTTTTAAAGTAAATCTGACATAAAATCCTGTTTTTTTTTGTTTTGTTAAAAAAATCCTATTTAAATATTGATTTATTTATAGAAATTGAAAAGATATCAAATCCTCCCAAAACTGCACAAATGTTGAGTAAATACATAAATAAACAGACTAAAATTACATTTGTAAAAAGAAAAATATATATATTATTCTGTTAGAAAATTAAATGTTATAGTCTGGGGTCCCTGGAGACCTCAAAGATAATGAGTGTTGACACAAATGAAGATAATCAGAGGGTTAAATGGCACAAAATTGTGTTAAGTTTATATTAACCACATGACCTAGAGCACTTTAACAAAGTACACTTGTTGTTCTGCATATTTCGAAATTTCTCTCAAAATGCAACAATTGTGACTGTTTGACAGTCATGAGAAACTTGTGATTCAAATTTCTGAAGTGACTGAGGCTTAATGTTGTACTGACTCCTACTGGTAAGATTTAGTAACTACAGTGACACTAGACAAGTCATGTCTCATGATCCAAAGATCCCAGTGCTTGGTATAAAGCTGTATTAAATTGTAGTATTCAAATTCTCATGTTTTACACACATATTCAGAAAGTCAAAAAGACATAGGTTATTATTCCTGTGACTCATTTATTTTATGCAACCCTGCTTTTTCAATATGATCATCAGATCTACACTGTTAATAAAACATGTTCAAGAAAGTATTTCAACACACACACACACACACACANCATCGTACAACCGATCGCTTAGAAAAGTCATAGCACACCTCTCCTAAATGAGCCGGTCGATTTGACACCTCATTCATGGGTCTACGACAAAAAATGCGGGAGGAGTAGCGTGCCAAAGTTTTGTCTTGGAGAATAGTATTTCACAACACTAGAATGTACATTTCCAGAGGAAAATGTGAAGTGGTGCTTGCAGTGGCAAAAAGCTCGCTCGGTTGCTAGAGTGTGGTACAGAATTGCATATGAGACAACAACCATGTCTGTACGATGTTTTTGTGATGATATATGGCTTATTAAGCTGAAATATGGCTTATTAATGTGTTCAGGTGTTACTAGGGTACTCTATATGGTTGCTATGGTGTGCTTATACAGTGTATGAGATTATATTTTAAAGACTAGTTGACAGTCTGAGTCAAAAAAGGCAAACTCCATGTTTCTTCTATTTTCTGAAGCTGAGAAATGACTTGAATATGTTGATTTATGGTTGCTAGGCTGCCCTAAGTGGTTTGCTAGGGCGTAAATATGAAGTTAATATGTTCTACTTGTTAGCTGCATGATAGGCCGAGTAAAAGAGCCCAACCCCATGTCTCTATGACCTTCTGTTCAAAAGATATGATCTCACCAATTTTATGCCAATGTTAAGTCTATGGGACTTTTCGGTTCGATTTATCGCCCGCCAGACAACATCGTACAACCGATCGCTTAGAAAAGTCATAGCACACCTCTCCTTAATGACCGGGTCGATTTGACTCCACATTCATGGATCTACGACAATAAATGCGGGAGGAGTAGCGTGCCAAAATTTTGTCTTGGAGAATAGTATTCACAACACTAGAATGTACATTTCCAGAGGAAAATGTGAAGTGGTGCTTGCAGTGGCAAAACTCACCACCCGGTTGCTAGGGTGTTATGGCTGGTTGCTATGGTGTTCTGGGTGGTTGCTATGGTGTTGTTAGGCAGTTGCTAGGGTATTCTGGGTGGTTGCTAGGGTGTTCTGGGTGGTTGCTATGGTGTTGCTAGGCGGTTGCTAGGGTGTTCTGGGTGGTTTCTAGGTGTTGCTAGGTGGTTGCTAAGGTGTTGCTAGGTGGTTTTGCTAGGGTGTTGCTAAGGTGTTCTGGATGGTTGCTATGCGGTTGCTAGGGTGTTGCTAGGCGGTTGCTAGGGTGTTCTGGTTGGTTGCTATGGTGTTGCTAGGTGGTTGCTAGGTGTTCTGGGTGGTTGCTATGGTGTTTACTAGGTGGTTGTAGTGTTCACAATATGGTTATTACAGAGTTTTTATATTGTTCATGGCATGATTTAGCACTTAGCTAATCAATATTAGCATGTAGCTATTCACAGCTAGCATGTTTAGCATTTTGAAAGTTCTATGTGCTAGCATGAGTCAAAAGACCCAACCCCCATCGTGATACAATGTTCTGATGCTGAGATATAGCTGTTACAAAATGGTTGCTAGGGTACTCTGTTTGGTTGCTAGGGAGTGGCTTGGCAGCTTCCAATCATGAAGCTCCAAAGTCAATGTGAATGTATAAACCAACCCCCATCTCTATACGATGTTCTGATGCAGAGATGTAGGCCTTGCAAAATGGTTGCTAGGGTACTCTTTTTGGTTGCTAGGGAGTGGCTTGGCAGCTGCCAATCATGAATCTCCAAAGGCTGCTTGTCAGTATGAATGATATAATACAACTCCCATGCCTCTATGACATTCAGAATGGAAGATATCCCTCTTTGGATTTTGGTTGCTAAGGTGCTCTACAATGGTTGCTAGGGCGTTGCCAGTAAGTGTTGAGGTGATTCAGGATTGGCTGTTTGCTTGCCCAAGTCAAACGAGCCCACCCTCATGTTTCTATGACACTTATATCCTGAGATATCCATTTGATCTCTTTCAATGGAAGTCTATGGGAGTTGTTGCTAAGGTGCTCTATAATGGTTGCTAGGGCGTGGCTTAATAGCTTCACAATGATCCTGAGAGACTGATTGGTCGTCTGAGTAAAATGAGCCCGCCCCCTTGTCTCTATGACACTGTGATCCAGAGCTATGTTCAATACAAAATCCCTATGCAATTTACCATAGTAGGAAAAACACATGCATTTGATGGGACGTCCTTCACCATAGTAATCAATGGGGAAACTTTTGGGCAGCTCCTGCCCCCAGGGGTGCAACTTTTACCCATTGTGTGGTATGTTCTTAAAGAGCCTGCCAGCCTCTTCAAATGTGGCAAATCTCACGTTTTGTCCGAAATCCTTGTTTGGAGTTATGAGTCGTCAAAGTTTGTCTCAATGTTAAGTCTATGGGATTTTTTGGAAATTTGTTCGCCCCTGGGGCGAGCACCGTACCCTGATCTCTTATAAAATTCATTTGAGACTTCTCCTCAATAGGCCGCACGATTT